GATCACCTTAGCCTCTGAAGACTTGATCTACTACAGCCTACGACCTACGACCTACGACCACGACCCCAGTGTACTGTTTAAACGTCAATCCCCAACTTCTGTTAGCAGACCCTACTGTCGGATAGCTGACCGTAACAGCTGACTGGTAAACCACGTGAGAAGTTTATTTTAAAAAGTATATCTCTATTACTAAAAACTATAGCTTATACTACTTATAGGGATTCTTTATAAGTTTAATATTACTAAACTATAACTAAGAGATTAATTTATAGTACTTAAGTATTGAAATATATAAGAATACTATAAATAACCTCCTACTATAATATTAATAATACTTACTTCGCGTTAGTTTTAAGGATAGAGATTATAACTTCACTTAGTAACTTTAATAACTAATACTCGCTAAGTATAAAGCTAGCTTATTATAAGCTTTATCGATAGTTTAGATCGTATAGGAAAGGCAGGATAAAGAGTTAAGGGATAAAGCAGTGTACTAAGACCAATATAAGAAATTCAAACAAATAACAGGCCACTCACACCCCAGGGTGGGGGAAGGGTGATGTCAAGCTATGCATAATGGCAGTCTCGGCAGTGGCCGATTACGCAGGAACCATGAAGCTTGGCGGGGGAGCGCTTTGGAAGAATGGGGAAGGTGGTTCAATGCCAGGGTTCCATCGCGACCCATGCCTCATTTCGGGGCGAGGTCTTGGCTGCCGGGAAGGCTCTCATCTTGGTCGCGATACGAGGTCTTTCAACGCGTTGCTTGAAATGCTTATCAAAGTTTTCAGTGACAGGCTCGAGTACCCAGCTGCGGAGTTGATCGGCGACCGGCCTTAGCAGTCAATTAACGAAGAACAAGCCTGACGAGGGCGTTCCCGCCGGTGAGAGGAGCCGGCCGGGGGTCGGATCTACCCGCCACAGGCGGCATCGCGAGCTTCCTGAATAGGACATCGTCCCCGTGTCACGCCATGCAGGCATTCTCTCCTGTCCGATTCAAGAACAGGAGTCTCCGCGACGATGCATGGGTTGACAGCGACAGTTAAAAACCCGCCCGAGGACCGTCCCATGAGGATGAATGTCATCGTCATCGACGCAGTGCCACCGCCCGACCGATCACCATGAAGGCAACCCTGGTCTCTCTCCTCAGCGCCATCGTGCCCGCTTTGGCGGCGCCGAGCGGCATCAACCGCCGCGCCGACCCGGGCCTCATGGCCGGCAAGTACATCATCCAGCTCAAGCCCGGCACCAGCCCCGAGGCCGTCACGGCGCATCACAACGCCGTGCGAAGCCTGCTGCGTCGCCGCGATGGTGCCGCCGGCGAGGTCGAGAAGACGTTCCAAATTGGCGACTTCAACGCGTACAGCGGCTCTTTTGACGACGCGACTCTGGCTTCGATCTCGGAGCTCGACGAAGTTCTGGTCGTCGAGCCCGACACGCTCATCTACCTTGAGCCGACCGAGGCGCCCGCGACCTCGAAGCGCGACCTGACCACACAGACGAGCAGCATCTGGAGTCTGGGCGACCTGTCCCACCTGGAGGCCGGTGCGACGGAGTACGTCTACGACGAGAGCGCTGGCGAGGGCACGACGGCCTACGTCTTCGACACCGGCATCCGCTTGTCGCACGAGGAGTTTGAGGGACGCGCCCGCTTCGGCATCAACGGCGTGACTGGCTCGACGGAGCAGACCGGCACGAACTCGGACACAAGTGGCCACGGCACCCACGTGGCTGCTACCATTGTCGGAAAGACATATGGCGTTGCCAAGAAGGCCACCGTTGTCGACGTCAAGGTCTTCGACGGCGATACGGTATGTCAAAGCGACTCAAGTCACCCGTGACTGTTCACTCACATTCTTTAGGGTTCCACGTCCTGGATACTCACCGGCATGACCTGGGCCATCGACGAGATTGTCAGCAAGGGTGCCCAAAACAGCTCCGTCCTCAACCTCTCGCTCAGCAGCGTCGGGGGCACTACTGCTCTCGACAACGCCGTCCTCGCTGCCTACCAGCAGGGCGTCCTTGCCGTCGTCGCAGCCGGTAACAGCAACCAGCCGACGACTGACGTCTCCCCGGCGAGGCTCCCCCAGTCCTTCACCGTCGGCATGACCCAGCCCGACCGCGGCCGCGTCAACATCATCGAGGACATCTACGGCAGCAACTACGGCCCGGAGCTGGACGTCTTCGCGCCCGGTCGGGACATCATCAGCGCCGCCCACACCTCCGACACCGGCACGGCCACGAAGACGGGCACCAGCATGGCGGCGCCGCTCGTTGCGGGGTTGGTGTGCTACCTCAGGGGCCTGGAGTCGGGCCTGGGAACCCCGGACGCGGTCACGAACCGGATCCTGGAGCTGGCGATCCCCGATGTCGTTGGAGACCCCAAGGGATCTCCCAATTTGTTGGTGAATAACGGCAGCGGCCGCTAAGATGGGACGATCAGCTTTGCGAAGGGAGGAGAAAACCTGGATTGTGTAAGACTTTGTACTGACCGCCGGATCTTGTTGTGCTATGTAGACGAATGAGAATGATTATGGCATCGCCCAGACGCAGTGACATGTTTTTAAAGTTTGTTGACGTCACTTTGCTCCATTGCATAGAGGCGATCGACATATGAGGTGTCGGCTGTACTCTGTGAGCTGTTCGCACAAATCTAAATGCCGTTGAGATCTGTGGAACAAGGAAATAGTGGCACCATGTATGCACTGAATGAAGGGCCTATTACTGGGCAAGATGCTGCTGAAAACCGGCTTACTTGACCTCAGATCTCTCTGGAGAGCAAGCGCAACCAGCATCGACGGGAGTGTCAAATTTGTCATTCAGGGGCGGCGGTACCTTTCCCCAATTCTTGAGAGTTGAGACCAAGTCCGCAAAAAGAAATCATGCTTATGGTGGGCATGCACGCGAGAACTAGTGCGATGGAGCTCCCAAAGGGTTTCCCCCCTCACCAACACTTATTCAGCCTAGCACAAATGAGCTGTGGCTCGATGTCTCTCTTTCCTTTCCCCTCACAAGCCATTTTTCAAATAAAGGGTCGCTGCCCGCGAACTCCGGTGGCAGCGTCGCCCCGCCAAAGTTCAAATAAGTGAGATACTGCCACCGTCTCATTGGACCGCGAGCGCCAAACCCTGCAGCTTAAGTTCCAGGGGTTTCGGTAGTGCTACTACTTAGGGTCTTTTTGGCCCACAACATGCGTCGTTCTTTGCTCTGGGTGAACTGTCTCGATCAACAATCCCAGCTGGACCGCGGACACAAACACGTCTGATAGAACGACGGGACACGATGCCTCTTTGCACACCGGCCATCGGAAGGGCAATCATCGCATCATAACAACTCATGTCGACCACTCTGCGTCCTATCCGCCCTCGTGGGCATTCCGACGATAAGCCCCTCCCCGCATCGCCCCCAAGCCCGGCTTCCAAGGGACTCAAAGGGCGCATAGCGTGCGGGTCATGCCGAAGGTTACGGCAAAAGGTCTGCCTCATACTGACCGTCTTGGTTTCCGTCACTGATGAATCGACCTCAGTGTGATGGCCAACGACCGTTGTGTGGCCGTTGTGCGGCAACCAATCATGACTGCGTTTACGAAGTCGACCATGGCGAGACGAGGATGCAGGGTATTCGTAGGGCAAACCGCCAATTGGTCGGCCAAGTTGACACGTTAAAGACTCTCTTTGAGCTGTTGAAATCGGCCGATAACGCCATGAAGGCCGAGATCATGGCTCACCTGGATGCGGACGAATCACCGGAAACGATTCTCCGACGACTCAAGGACGGCAAACAAAAGCCTCGAAAACGAAGCAACCAGAGCTCTAGTGATGGATCAAGCACCGTATTCGACCGCAAGTCTTCACAGAGTTCCTCGACCAGTGTCAAGGTTGAGAAAGATGATAGCGTCCTGCTTCCGACAGGCGCGGTTCCGTGGCATATTGACAAGATGCACTACCTCCTTAACCAAGTCGATCCAATAGACCTCAGCAAAGACTCACCTCCAACAGTAACAGATACACACTTTCCACCCGAGGAAGAGGACCAAAAATGTTCTGAGTTCCTCAAAGCCATAATTAAGGCAGACGAAGCGAGTCAATCCAGTCACATCCTTCCACCTGGCGCGGTCGAAGGCTTCGGAAACCTGCCCCTTTCGAGCGCTGTAAAAGCGAACCATTATCCTCCAACAGTGCAAGCGCGACAACTGCTGAACATGCGCACCGAGGAGTATCGCCTGCCGTCGTTCATGGCATCCGACGGCAGTCCACTGTCGAACATATTTTACAGTTATAGGGATGCTGCGATGGAAATGCTCTCGAACGGTGTGCCTTCGTATAAGGTCCTGGGTCCCCAGGATCAGATTGACCTCGAACTCTTCTTCCGAGACCGACAGCCCGAGGACGCATACGACGTTCACTCCTGGGCCTGTGAGTTAGTGAAGAACATTGAAGGGTACGACGTTTTCGTTCAGCTGGCGTGCTGTGCGCTTTACGCCACATACATGAGGGTATGTAGACTTCTACAACAGGCGCAGAGAGCTATGGCATGAGCAGGGCTAACTAACTGAAGTGGAATATCCTCCCTACGGCAACTAATTACCAACTAATGCCGGAGATGATCCGCCCAACGAAGCAACAGCGATTCATGCCTCACCGAATGAACATTGACCTCGTACCACAGTAAGTTATCGGTGTCATGGTGATACCCAGCATGCTCGTTTTCTAACCGCCTTGACAGCCCTGCTATCCGTGATGCCCTGATCAGCAGGTTCCGAGACTGGATTTCTCCGGGTACGACGGACACCGGAGGTACCAGTGTTGGATGGCCGTACAGCATTGAGGCTGCGGTAGACATTTGTCCCCTGACGGGGCGGAGGATGTTGAGTCGGGCATTCTTCGAACACGCTACCAATGGGGCAAACTGGAGCTTAGACAAGTCGATACGGGCCTTGTTTCCGGAGATTGAGAGTATGGGTTTCCACATCAGAGACTAGAGGTTCTTCGACGAAGAGGTTTGCAAAGGATGATTAATACGAAGTCACCAAGGTTGTGCTCTTAATGGGTGAGAGATGACAAATCCGTGTAATGAGGCAAGATGAATTGATGAAAAGTAATTCTATTTTCGGGGCCCTCAGGGTCAATCTCAAGGTGCTATTTTCATACAAAGTTAAGTCGCGCTACGCGGTGAATCTCCGACAGCGACCTTTTGTTGAACCGTCTGGCTGTTTGTTGCCTGACGGTTGATTGTCTGGCGACTTTTTGTTGTCTGGTGGTTTGTTGCGAAGGTCGCAATCCTTTTCGGAGATGATCCTCGGATAGCTAGTGGGCGCCATCTGAGAGAATAAGGTGTGGCTGACAAGGTTGCCCACCGACTCGGAATTTTCAGGTACCGAAGCTTTTGGGCCCTGACTGGCATCGTTGCTTGAACTTCCCTCTGGTGGCTCAAAAGTCCGAGGATCAAAGCTGAGCTGAAAGCTGCCCTCAGTATTGGCATCCTGCCCGTCTTGCACCGACAAGGACGATCATGACCGAGTCTCTCTGAAAGTATATCGTTAGCAAGTAGAGACTGGCATGAAATGGACACAGAGATAACTTACCCCTTTGAGGTCAAGTCGGAGGTGGGCGCTTTCTTCTCAGGCTCAGAGGGAGCCGAGTCCCTACTTGGGCCTTGTGATTGTGGGTTTTGCTGGGTCATGATGACTGATGAATGGGTGGACAACCAAATGTAGACGAGAGAAAGGAAGGAAAGAAGTCGTAACGCGGTGATTGGATATCTCTGAGCGCTGGAAGTAGCCTGTCGGTCTTTTCACGGGAATTTAAGAAATGTTGGTGACGGTTCTCCGATGGATGTGAGAGAAGAGGGGGAAAAGAGGAATCTTGCCAACATACGGAGTCACAACTATATGAGAAGATTCATTTGAGCTTTGAAATAACTATGAAGTAACTTGGGAACGAAAAATTTCAACAGGATGCGTCCTCGTCACCGTAGCTTTTTGAAACTCTCTTCACGACATATACGGATCACCAGCAACATCAAGTCACCGACCGACCTCTGTGGACTGGCAGTATCGGAGATGCACCCAGATCAACCAACAGTTTCACACACGATGCTTTGAAATCAACACAAGATAGAACCTGTGGAAGTTGAGTAGCTATCAATGTTCTCATTAAGAGACTATGAGTACGGCCCTAAGCTTCTCTCATCTGGGCTCAATCTTCCTTCCTATCCATCCCCTTCACACACTTCAATCTACTACTCACTACAATCTCCCACCCACTACAACTACCACACACAACAACTTCCACTCTACAATACTACCACTCTACCATCTACCACACACAAGTAAGTCAAATACTTGTAATCATCTTTACAACCTAAAGACAGATCGAAAGTTCAATTCGGACCATCTATCATATTATCTGTCTTACTATCTATCTACTATTCATTTTTCATCTACCCTCAGAATCTAACTTCATCAAGACGCCAGATACTAGCCTCTGAGCTTCTACTAGTCAATAATCATCCACTACAATCCCATCTACAAGCCCAGGCTTACACAGACAAACACCTATCTACAACCCCAAACAAACATCAATCGAAATGGGTAACTCTCAGTCCAGCGCCAGCTCTTGGAACCGGTGGGAATCTTCCCAGAAGGATGAGTGGCGAACCCTCGTCGACAGGGAAATCACAGAGACCCAGTGGGTTTCCGGCGACGACTACCTCATCATGATCAAGCGCGAGGAGTTCCTTTGCGAGAAGGAAAAGTTAATGAAGCGGTTCAAGGACGAGTGGATCGGCTGGACTGGTGGTCCAAAGAGTGACTACTTTTGGGGCGACCAAGTTTTCCAAGGTCGTCGGCGCCATCAGTGGGGCAGCAACTTTTACGCTGACGGCCACGATCAAGGTCGCACCCATTACCGCTATTGAAGCACAATCGACAATCGATTGACAAGCGTCGATTGAAGTCAACGCAGATGGTGAGGTTGGGGGGTCCTGTGCAAGTGGAGTGGAATGCGCAACAGTGGAACGCCCGAGACATCTTTGCAGCGGCCTCCAGAGGTCTGAGGGAAAGAATCTCTGGAGGTCTCGTCGCCTGCCGAGCCCGTGTCTCGTGATGTCTCGGGCTGAGATGTATGGTTATTAGGTAGTCCAGGAAAGAAGAGATTTAATTTTCTCACATGAATAAGTGCTCCGTGATATATGATATGCCTTGTCTTCACGACGAATCTTGACATCAACTATCCGGAAACGCTGCCAGCATAAACGAGATTCACCAGTTGGATGGTCGAAGACTCCATTGCCGGCCGGAACTATCGCAAGCTTTCCATAACTCGTACGGAGTCCCTTTTGCGTCCACCTCTTGAGGTTTTTCTACTAGGGTTGGTCGATCTCCTACCTCAATAAGCTGTCCATAAAGGTGCTCGTCACCCGCACTTCGTCAAATTCTGTGTCTGTGATGAGATGAACCTGGTTAAACGGCATCCGTGTCCCGATCGTCCGGATCGCCAAGATGTATCGCAACTAGGGATGATCCTTGAGAACTTTGACCGCGAGCCTCCGGCACCTGCAAGCATTGATTAATATAGGAGTACTTGGGCTGAGTCAGTCGGGCCAAGAACCCGAGAGGTCTTGGTCGCAGCTGCGCCATTGCGCAGCAGACTTGGTAGAGACGCTAAGCTGACGCGAATGGCTGTTGTGAATTTGTCGCGCCGAGCTGACGAGGCGATCAGTTCCACGTTTATATCCACCCGGCGCTTGGCGTATCGAGATTCATGTCTTTGGTCGCATTGAAGCGAAGTATTTAGAGAAAGCGCTTTCTGCTTCGAATTCGCTAATCAATTGCTGTTCACGTTCTTCCTCAGCATTGCCAACTTGATTGTTTTCCCAGAGCCTTCTCATATTTCTTCAACCTTCACCATGGCTTTGAGAACATTACTCAGATTTTCCATGTACTCCGTGCGGCTATTCCAGATTTGCGCATTGGCTCTCACCATGTTTGGCGTGTACTATTCGTCATGGTTGCGGAAAAGTCACGACCTGGCCACCAGCATTGAGGGAGATGGACTCGAGTATCCTACCCTCAACGAGACTCTCTTCATATTTACAGTAAGTGAACAACTGATTCATGAATAGATCATTTTAGCCAACAACTTCGCAGGCCATATTTCTTTCAGTCGAGATAGGAGTCAACTCAAGTATCCGTCGCGGCTCAGATCCTCGGATATCGGTACTTAGTCTTGCGGTGTTCACCCTCGGCTTTTGTGTCTACGTTGCCGTCCCAGAAACCCAGCGACACATGAGCTTGATTGGGTCAAACCAAGACCGCCTTCTCTGCCAGACTTCACCGGATCTTCGCATAAGAGGCGCAGTTGGTCGTGCCACGATAGGAGCTGGTATAGTGACCTGGTATGCCGCCTAGAATCTTGAGTATGCCGTTTTTCGACTGACTGTAGCGATACAGGACAACTAGTGTGGTCTACGTTCTGTTTGCTGTGATTGATTACGCAGAGACCGTTAAAGGCATTGAGACAGAACTGAGTCGTGACGAAAAGAGGCCGTTCTGGCATTCCGAGAAGCCGAAAGCAGATCTCATTTCAGTGTAAAATTTGCCTTTGCAAGGAATCAAGTGGGTTGTGATGATGTTTGAAAAATGCCCATCACAAAGATAGAAACCAAGAAATAATGATCCACGTGTATGAAGTCTGGAGAAATTGCGGGCGCGTCCGATGCGTCGTCATTGAATTTACGGTCGGCATGAACAAAGTCAAAGGCTAGCCCAGCCATCCTTGCGTAGTTGCTCCCAAACTCTCCTCAATGGAGCCAATGCTCCGTGTCAGTCGAACCCGCTCAACTTCATCTACCCAAGAACTGCCAGGATGCCCTGAGCAACATCCTAGCCATTGCAGGCGTTTACGGCCCCTTCTGACTTGTTGTATCTGCCTGGGCAGATAATCGTTAATTAGACCTAGGTTGTGTGCTCCAAGTCGCTCGAATGATGGGGAAATCCTGCCTGTCATCCGCAAGCTTCCGAGCAAGACAGAAGGTCACCGCAGTTGTAAGGTCTCCAGTGAGGAACAGTAATGCAAACTCGTCCAATTTGATAACGTTATGTCGATTTTAGGTCTGCTCGGGTCACAGCACTCTTCCCCGAGATATTTGTGGCCTTGAAAGCAATCGCTTGCTGAGTTTAACACAGTAGGCAGATATGCTGTGGGCGCAACCACCCACGATTTCGTGACGGTGCTGCAGACTATATCTGCAGGCACATCCCCTGGTTTGGTGCAAAATTTTGGAGGAAGGATAAGCGTTCCGCTGTCAGTTGTCGGCTCTTGGGTAGTTACTACCTCGCCAAGCGATGGAAATCGGGGAATCTGTGACTATGGAAATCGAGCTGGACCTGGTATTGATAGTTGATGGTGGTTTCGCCGATGTCGAGTCGAATGTAGATTGTCAATTGACTGCGTGGATCTTGCCGAGGAACTAGGGGAGGACCGCCATCACCACAAGTCTGAGTCAAGTTCCCAGGACAAGGACTGTTACACTTGTGCTATGAAATAGAATGGGCGCGGAGCTGTATACAAAGGCTCCGCAATAGCAGTCGGCGAAAGCGCCGGCGAACCTCGATTCGTTAAAGGCAGCGACGCAGATGTTGACATGATTATCATCGCCCTGTCTCGCGAGAGCAATACATGCAGAGATCTACGACTTCCACTAAAATAACTCAAATACCAAAAGTGTAGACCAATGGTGGAGGTGAATGTGTGGGGTTAGGCAAGGCCTGGAAACTCACGGATGGATGTCTACTTACTCGCTGGGCCTTAAAGTTGCCGGGTTTCATCAAATTCTGCCAACACACGGGGGTTTGACTTACTACTTAGCTCTGTTGAGCGATACACCTGGTCAAAATCCGGACAACGCTCAACATATTCTCCATGATGACTATTGCTTTAATTTGTGAGGGTTGAGTAAATTTAAATCGACAATTCCGCGACACTCCTTCTACAACGAAACACAACAGATCCGATATAAAGATCTCTTATAGACTTGAACCTGAAGACACAAGCCACTAATTCTTTCCTTCCTAGGTGCGTGAGAGCCTCCTTTCATATGATTCTTGGCCCTCACTCGAACGTTTCGTATCTCCGTTGACAGGGCTTTCATTGTATCGGATTGCCAACTCACCAAGTCCTCCTGTGGCGGGAACGTCTTTGCGTTCTTCGTGGACCAGCAATTGCAGGATCCCATGCGGGATACTGGTTGACTGGGAATTCCGGCCTGAAACCCCCACCCGCAGCTGGAGCACCGTAAACCCGAGGTCTCCGATTACGTGAAAATGATGGTCTGCGCTGCTGGGGAAAAAATGCCGGCGGTGGCGGACGTGGTGGAGGAGGTGGTGGGCCGTCTGTGTCATTGTCAACGAGTAGTCTTTTCCCTAGAATAAGTAGACTCTCAGAATGCTTTGGACGCACCTGTAGACTCAGAATAGGTTGTCACTGTTTCGACATCATACATGCCAGCGTGTGAGTGCCGCCGTGTTCTTCGCGATGAGCAGAGCCGAAGTAATCGGCGCCATGGATGAGGTCCGCAGAATAACCCATACATGATTATCAAAAGACCAGCACCGATGATGGTGGCTGTGAGTGCAATGACACCGCCGTCGGCCATTTTGCCGTCAACCTGGTGGACACTGGAACCAGGATATCAGCGCAAATGAAGCTGCCTTAATCACAATGGGTCTCAAATTATATAATCTTTGGAAGTTCCTCAAATCAGGCTGCGTCAGGTGATGCCAAAGACGCGGGGCTTTCGTTGGCTATGATACGTGGGGGAGGTCGCCTCGGCGAAAGATTATCATGCAGGGTGCTTACGGCAATGGAGGTGTGGCACACCAAACATGTGGCATGTCCCAACCAAACAACTTTGCGATCATCTTCCACGACATTGGTCAAGCCCACATCTCATGATGCCTTCTTTCCATTTATTAGCGCTAGAGACATATTTGTCTATTGCCAGGGGAAAATCGGCAGACTTCATCATCCTTGACTCTCTGTCTCAAGCCAATGTCGTCTAAATGTTGCCAAACTCATCCCAGAAGAGACGTCAAGTGCATAGCTCTCAGCAATAATAGGTTGCTGTCTGTCAATATCTTTGCTCATCTTAGGTAGAAGCCTAGAGTCAGCAGATGTATTGAATGACAACGAATAGATGCAAGGAGAGTAAACCATACAATACTTTTGTCCTCCGTCCAACGACCATATCAAGGAAGCTCGGTATAAAAAGAGGAGGACTTTGCAAAGCAAAACGGCTGTTGTCATTCTCCCCAAATTCGCATCATCCAGCTGCATCATTGACGGTTCCTCGAAGCAGTATACAGCCAGGATCAATTAGCGGAAGGCATTATTCCATCTTGATTCAGGCCATGGACTTTGACAAAGTGCTTGAAGTAAACGGTCAGTTAGGTAGCTGCTTTTTAGCATTGAACTGTTACTCACAGCCTGTAAGGTGTCCCTCCGAGTAACGGCCATGCCGCAGCCGACAACGTTGCAGAGACAATCCTTAACACCTGGGGTATTGGTTCCACTAGTGGTGGAAATCATGAAATCGAAAGTAATGTTGTTATTTGCAACATGAAGGCGAGCTGTACTGGCAGCATTTGTTCCGCTAGCTTCAATGTCGCTGCTATCGGCTGTGATTTCACTAGCCACAGAGGGTTCATCGGTATCGCAGCCCACGCCCAGTGCCACTGTGACGACAGAGTCATTGGCCTGAGCCTTGGTCTTGGTAGACACCATGATGCCACTCTCAGTGTACTTCCAACGGAGCTTCACCATGATGCCCTCAGCAAGCTCAAAGCTATCCTGGACGGATGCGCCAGTAATATGCCGATATCCCGCCATGGCTAACAATGCCTTCTCTAGAGTGTCGGCACCAGCGTCTTCCATGTTATTTGTGCCTGCGAGGGGCCCGGGGCCTGATAAAAGATACAAAGAAGTGAACCGTAGGGTGGGATTGAGTGCGAAACTGTGAAAGCACCTTGAAGTGAGATTTTGTAGAATAGAATTAGCAGTGTGAGTTGAAACAAATAGCCAGGAATTAGAAAGCTTTCTCAAGTCAGGTGAATCAAACTTCCAAAAATTGGGAAGGAACGAATTTCGAAAGCGCATGCAGGATCAATCTTGCCTCACAACTGACCAGGGTTCTGCGAATTCATCTAACCGCACTTCTAAATTGCAGTGTGTTATAATTGATTGAATGTTGACTTCGGCATCTCAGGCCGAAGTCAGACGATATTACTTTTGATAGGTGCAGTATTACCGCGCTACCAAAAACTCTCTATTCATTGCTTGACGCAAAGCCATACAACCCTGGGAACGGTCATAAATCGCTCTCAGTGAAGCAATTTATGACACAGGAAGTGCCCGGCCGGGGTTGATTTCCATAGATTGGCCCCTTATTCAGCTTGAGCCGTCCGAGGAAAGAGGATGTAATAAGAGAGCAGAGACATAACTCAAATTTGGAGTGGGAAGTCATCTTCTATGAATATCCTCAAATAAAATCAGGTACTTCCGCACAACGTCTCGAAGAAGCAGAAGCTGCATAGATACCTTACCTTAAACGCACTTGTGTTATCAATTCTTTCAAAAGAAGTCGGCCCTATAACGCTACCTGTATACGTTTAATGTGAAAAGGACCTCGCTGCTTAATCTTAGGACATCACATTGCATAGTCGTATTTAACGGGACCAGAATAATTGTTGCGCCTTCATCTATGTAGAAGGATTGCTTTCTTCCCTTGCCCTCTAATGAGCAAATCGGAAATCCAAACGTTTGCTTCCCTCATCTTTTGTCGTTGCTAAGTAATTGTCCTTCTCCTGTTGACTCATGTTCTTCCAAACATCATCCCGCTTCTTATTTCTCCACATGTAGTAGCCTTTGATCATCCAGGCAAACACAGCATTCCAGGCAGTGATAGTAAGGAGGGCCTTGTTTCCACGGCGGTAAAGGGGTGCGTCATCGGTACGATAAATCTGTTGAATGTCAACTGCTTTCTGCTTTGAAAGGAACAAAATAGCTCACGTTGGAAGCAATAATACTGCTCGCTTGCACTGTCATGTTGTACACTGCGCTTCCGACGGTGCGTGTGCGTACGGTGCCCGCATTGCGAGATGTCAGGGCAACTGTTTGTGTTAGTCCCAGACCAAAGGTTTTGATTTAAGAGACACATACCCAGAATAGAGTGAACATAGGGGTATCCGATTGTCAAAGCAGTCACCGCATACCAACTCCAAGGGCTTGCTGTGCTTGGGAGCAACTCCAGTGCCAGCAGAAGTGGGAATACCCAAACGGAGTAAATGAAAATGGTGAAGAAACGGTTGTTGAAGCGCTCTGAGAACTGAGTCCAGCCTATCAGTTGGATAAAGAAGAGGACATATGCCGGGACAGTCAGTAGGTTGGTTTGGAATGTGTCGAACCCAAGCGCTCGCAGGTTGAGCGTCATGTACGCTGTGACCGGCTGAACTGGGATGAGAAGTGTAAAGCCGTAGAGATAAATCGGCCAAAGGTCCCAATCGCAGAGAGCCGACCACAGCAGCTTCAAAGTCAGGCCTTGTCGGTTGTGCATTCCACCCTTCCAGATAAGTTAGCAATCAGAAGTACAGCACCAATGTAGTTAGGAACATACCTTGCTTGGGTCATCTCTCAGGATGCGATTAACCATGATGATCTCTTCCCGCTCGGAGAACCAGCCATCACTGCCCCGTAGTCCACCAGCACTCTGAGTCGGACTTGGTGGGAGATAGAACCAAGAGAGAATGCCGATCACTGCTGTCAAACCACCTTCAAGGGCGAACAGCCACCGCCAACCCTCCCAGCCTCCCGTACCTCGCAAGTGCAGAATACCGAATGCAAGGAAAGCCGCAATCGTTTGAGTGAATGCGTTGCTCGTGACGTAGAACCAACTGAGACGGACGGGCAGTTCCTTGCTCGTGTAGAAGTACGAGAGGTAGAGGATGGCATCCGGAATGAAGCCGCCTATTGAAGTTCAGTGTCTGGGGTTCACCGTTCGAGGAGGAAAGGAATCAGCCCTACCTTCAATGAGACCGAGCAGCGCCCGGGTCACGTAGAAACCTGTCTGGTCCTTGATGGCACACTGGCAGATGGCGACAGTACTCCACAGGACCATCTGAATGGGGATCCATACATCTGGGCCGAGCTTCTTCGATAGCATCTGTGAGGGCAGTTCGGCACAGAGAAAGCAGAGATAGAAGATTGTCATGCCATAGTTGTACTGGTTCGTTGAGAGACCGAGATCAGCGAGCATGTTGTCGGAGTTCGCTTGCGTAATGTTGCCGCGGTCTAGTTGCAACGCGAAAAACATCAAGCAGACCCAGCAGCAGATTCTATAGTCAAGCTGCGTAGAGTCAGAACATCAGTGTGCCTCCATCACTCAAACAGCCGCTGTTTGGGGGTTCTCACCTTCTTCACCAGCTTCTTTTCCTCCTTCTCGGACCATTCTGCCTTTGGGTCGTAGCGATGTCGGCCCTCGTACTCTGGGATCGGCTCGTACAGCTCCGCCGAGCCTCCAACTGCCCAGACCTCTGCCGAGGCAGCCTGCTTTGAGCTAGAGGCTGCAGACTTGTCGTCGACATTGAGACGTTCACCCTTCTGCTCAATGGCAGAGTTGACGCTTGGCGTGCCAGACATAGTAAAGCGCCAAGACGGTTGGCTAGTCTTGCGGTTACCAATGAGAACAAGACAGTAGTGCGAAAGAACGAGGCTCCTCGTAAACCTAATTCATGCCTAGAGTATTTATTGCGAACGCAAATAGCATGTTTGACTAGCATCGCATGCAGAGTCTGCCATCACAACTTCGCGATCCACGATGGTGCAATTCGGAGCTTCGTCATGGAACCCCACTGGATGTCAAGTGGGCTCAGATACTTCCGCGGAGAGGACGGCTTGCAGACCAACGAAAGACCGGCAACTTCATGCCGAAGGCCTACAGGCTGGACTCTGGAGAGACGGGACAGAAGACCTGGAGTTGCTTCGGGGCAAGATTACGGTGGATGTCGTTCATGGGTGCCGGCTGTCTTGGGGCCTCGACATTGCAGTGGCGGAAGGAGGCGATAGCGGAGAACTTATGAAATAGAGAGGAGAAAGTATCTCACCAGCGAAAACGCATGAAAACTGATTGGTAGCAGAGTAGTATCAGACACAAAGCTTCCGGCAACGATGTGGTTGGGTTGATTGGCTCCTTGCATCGTTCCCGGGATGGTGGAGTGGGGGAAGAGATCACGTCAACGCGGGCTCAAATGTGGTGATCTGAAATGCCGGTTCGTGCAGCACCGGCCCGATGTCCGTAATTCTCCGCGCAAGACAACCAGAATACATGCTGTGAAGCATGGTAAGAACCACTAAGCGTTGTTTCTCACCCTTGAACTGCATACGTCAATAGATGTGTGTGATAATGCCGCCTCTTGCTCTTCACAAAACAAGCTTGTTGGTCCCCAAATCCAATATTCATTGGTAGTTGTCAAACCTCAACCTTTAAATGACGCCCAGAAGTCGAAAACCACGAGGCCCTCTTAGAATAACAACGCAGGGCTCAATTGACTGCAGAAGGTAGTCTCGGATTTTGTCTGCATGAAAAAGACTACACAGGGTGCAGTTCAGAGTTCTCGCAAACTTTCTGCAACTACGAGTCTGCCACTGGTCTGTGATTCGCTTTCGGTACTTGACTTGTAAGTGTCGACTTTTAGGCCGGCAGTTCGTACGGATTAGCGCTTTGATATTGCTTAACTCCACAAAGTCGGCGCTATCGCCGTCGTCGTTGTCACTCATCGTCGTCGCTCACTGTCTCCGGACAACTCATCGAGCCGGTCGATACCCAGCGATCGGATTCGCTCCCATGTGCCCCCTGGTATCATTTTTCGAAGATTGTGTGAGGTGGACCTTCCTTCCCTTCGTAGTCGACACCGCAGCCCCTCTTCACAATCACCAAGAATTCTTTGCTCCTCTCGCCGGCAGCGAGCAGCTGACCATCCCGTGTGGTACCAAAAGCTTCAAGTGCTTTGCTGCAAGAAATCTTTTGCTCGAATTGCGTGCGTGTTTTCGGTTTCATGACAGAGCCAGGGCATTTCGGTACGGTCGAACGATAGATCGTGACCGAGGGCTTGGTTTGAGCGCCGTCTCTCTCTTCCAAGATGCTTTGCCAGTAACCAGGCTGAGGCTTGCGCCAGACCCTGTACTTTTCAGAGTCATTTATGTGTTCGAGTCTCTCAAAGCCTAGTGGTTCTGAACTATGGCTGAGGTAGTGAAGCTCTTTCCATCCGTAGCTTTCTCTGATGAGGCCTGTCAAAGTCTCGTAACTGACAGGCGCAAAGCGCGTGCCAAGCACGGTGAGTGCATCGAGGCGAAGTCCTGGGAGAAGCTTGAGGGCGGCAGAGAGTTCGTGATAGGTGTTATGAACATCTTCCCGCCAGTTATCGGCTACCACACACAGATACCGGATCTTTGACAGGGTAGAATGAGGCAAAGGCGTCAATCTGTCAAGCATTTCCCTCGGTCCTTCGAAATGAAGCAGAATCTGGCCGATCCAGGTATCACCGATCTCGGCGCTTGCTCGACGACAAGTTTGGAGAACAGCAAGAGCATGGGTGGTAGCTGGCTTGATTCGAATGCGACTGCGGCGAGCGACTGCCCTCTCCCACAAGGAGTACGTCCTCCCACAAGACGATGGTCCCGTAGAGGAAAAGAGGTGCGAGTAGATTTGATCGCGAAGCTCCTGGGGTAGACTTTGAAAGAGCTTGCTCGCCGCCTGCTCGTCTGGAACGGCGGTCATCCGCCGCGCTGCTAATGACCTCGGCTCAGATTGCTTCTGATTCTGCTTCTGATTCTGCTTCTGATTCTGCTTCTGATTCTGCTTCTGATTCTGATTCTGATTCTGCTTCTGATTCTGATTCTGATTCTGCTTCTGATTCTGATTCTGATTCTGCTTCTGCTTCTCTTGAATCATGTTCGTCAAGGCTCCTTTCTCAGTAACGATGACAATCTTGGTTGAGGTGGAGAGGCGTGAACAGACAGATGCGACAACTGCGTCAGGGGGGATTCGAGGTGGGGAGAAAAATTGTCTCAACTACACCACCAAATTGCTTACGTAAGTGGTTTTCCGGATGGCAGCTATGTTTGGCTAGGGAAGTCATGAAGAAGAGGTCCTGCGAAATGTTTGTTGCACCGGATCATCGACAATACCCAGCATTAGCTTTCTCCTGGTCTCTAGTCCTCTGGTCGCTGTTACATGGAAGCCCAGTTGATAGATTCTTCGATTTCTTAAACTACCCGCAGGCCAGATGCCGACGATTTCTCACTAGTACTCAGCTATATTCCTCTCACGATTGTGGCTCACGTATGGGAACCAACTCAATTGGGTCACGTGCAGCCATCGCAGACTTTACCTCCCAATTGTACTTATGAAGGGCTCTATGCGCGATGCCATTGACTATAATGAAAGTCACATTTTGAAGAATGGCATAACATTTCCTACTGTTTCCATTTATGCTGTTTAATTTATCGGCTGTTATTTCTTGCATATTCTTCAGCATTCAAACCTTTTTGCTCGCTCATGACAACAACAGCATGATGCCAGCATCCTGCAAAGGGAGCAGTAATGTGTCCGGCTTCAGAAAATGCCGAAAAACAAAATTCCCGCCAAAGAAGCATGGCCCTTTGCGACATCACAAGGAAATAGTCTGACGTGAGCTGGTCTTATCAAATAAGATTCTCGTTATAAACAATGAACATGCTCTCACCTCGCTGATATGTTATGGACTTATACTGAGTACTCAAAGGCATAAATCGCACTTGAAATTCGAGGCTAGTTTAGTCTGTGAGGCTTGAAAAACAGCCCCTTTCATGTCCTATTCATGAGAAAGACTTCGCAGGTCGCAGTTGAGAGTTGTCGCTAGCCTCCTCCACCTACGTACAAGTAGTTTCAATGATCTGTGATTCTCTTTTGATACTTAACTTATTGAAATCGTCTTCTAGGCCAGCAATCGTCTTCGCCATTCACGTCAGAGCTACTCAGCCACCCGGAGTCTTTGAGAGCTTCTGCACAAGAAGCGCTCCTGTTCGCCCAGACGTCCACATAATTGTTTGTAAAAGCACCCAGACTCCCACGAAATTGCTTGTCCTCTAGGTTTGAGGGTTAGCACTTGTGATGTTGCCAAACGGAAATACGCGACGAGATTCTGGATGGTGGTAGGCGCATTCTAGGTCTATTGATGTTGGTATTCGTACGTTGCGACGTAAAATCAAGGGGAATTCAACTCTATAAGACAAATGATAGGTGAACTCAAAGAAAAGAGACACCTTGTTTTCCATGTGCTAGAGTGACTACTTTTTCCGTGTGCTCGCTGTTGTCTTTACCGTCGTAATTGCTATTACTATTGTTTATGATCGTCGTCGCCGTTCTCGTCGTCTATTGTTGTCGTCCCTCGTCGTCCCTCATTGTTATCCCCTCGTCGTTGTTCTAGTCAAAGTCGCCAAGCACAGGAAATGTAGCCGCCTAGACATACGGAAATTGGGTGGTCTCAAACAAAAGGATGCACTGTTTGCAGACCAAGCAATACCCGCTACACAAAGTACATAGGGCACTTAGGGACCCTGCCAAACCCCCACGATGCCACCGTGCGGAGCAGCCCGTCTCAGGTGGTTGAACCGATGAGTAAAGACTTCGATTTCGGCATCTTTAATGAACCTTCGGAATCTAGGGGTACCAAAATTACAAAAGCATCTCTCAAAACGAGTGACTCGGCAATCAAAATCCCGACGAGTGTTTTGATTTTTCCACCACTACATTTCCTTGTTTCTTGTAGCTCGGCAAACTCCCGAGGGGTGCCAACTACCGCGACTTACAATTCCCGAGGCTGGCCAACTTCCGAGGGCTGCAAACATGCGAGCTTCTTTCTTGGCCTTCATTACCCGGCGACGGACTCGTGCGCTTTCTAGTCGACGTTTCTAGGCCTGGTTGATCTATTGTTTGCCATCTGTTTTGGCTATCTTTACGTAGCCCAAACCAAGCGATCGTTTGCGATGCCACAGCGAAATTCCTTTTGAGATGAAAAGTAATAAAATCATATTCCTTTCAAGCTTTAGGTTGCTGCGCCTTCCGGGTTTCCTGCGCCTTGGGGGCATTCTCATGACCAAATGGCGTCTTCAAAATCCTTCCATTTTGTACCAATTGGCTGGATATGGGTGAATGACTTTCCGGTTCCGCTGAAGCTATCTTGGACACCAGTAATGAGATACAACGGCGTCATTTCCCCATCATTGCTGAAGTATAGCTTGGGACGTTCGCGACGCCTGAACAGCTGCCAGGTACCATCAGAGTATGAGATGTTGGAGGTAAATGCCGTTTCCAACGGGAAGTGCCAAGGGCCGGTGATATTCCGAGCAAACAGGTGCGTGCCCACGCGAGGCCACTGCTGCCTATTGTATTCAATAAGATCAATCATCCAGTGACTTATAGAGTGCCAATTCCCACGCTTATCACGCCAAATGAAAGGATCTTCGGTCCAGTATGGGGTGTCACTTTCTAGAGCCGTAACCCAATCCGCCTGGAAGACCGTCTGATAGCTTCCGTTCCACGTGGAGGCTGTGTATATCCGGTAGTCCTTGATCAGCAGCGCGATCTCGCCTGTGGGGTTGTCGGGAGTCCAAAGTGGAAAGGGTGACGGATTGGTTGCACGCACGGGTATCTCCCGGGTGAAGTCGCTGTCAACAATCAACTGCCAGTCCGTCCAGGGGCCACGGATGTCGTCCGCACTGGATACTGAAATGTTGTTGGGCCATTGGGTGTAGCTGAAGCTTTTGCACTCTGTAAAATCGGGAGCCTGCGTGCCTATGGTGTACATGAGATACTTCCGGTCTACCGGGCTGAAGATGACATCGGGATTATGCCGAAAGCCGGTTGCAGGTGTTACATCCTGTGCCCAGTGGTATGGGCCCTGAGGACCGGTGCGAGACTCCGCACGAATGATGTGCGAATGGGGTCTCCAGCCGCTTAAGCCACAGCCATGGGCGAATTGCGAGGTGAACAGGTGGAACAGTGTAGGATCCTTTGGGTCTTGTAGGATCCTGCCACCCCATGACGAGTTTCCGTGAGAACCCCAGCCATCAGGTTTGGTATAGTTTGTGTTGTTGTACCCGGTGTATCTTGTGGCGGGTGCCAAGTCGAGGATTCCGCAGTCATCTCCGATCCAACCGGGGTCACATTCGCACGCTTTGTAAGCTGTTTTCGCCCCAACAGTCTCGAATCTGGCAGTGCAGAGGCCGTTGAGGCTACAGTCTTCGTCGGTGTTGCAGGCCTGACCGATCGCAAACCAAAGAGGCCGAAGGAAAACCAAGTCAAGTCTCATGTTGACGGACCCAATCAGAACTGCTCGTACTTGAAGATAGACGAAGCAAATGAAAGCGGCACGAGATATGTGTTAAGCAATACAGGTGTTTGAGGCAATTCCTTTTGTATTAGACAACAATGACCGGCATGTCTTGAGCTCTCGGGAAATAGGAGTAGTGAACTCCGGGCGTATATGGTGACTCCCATAGCATATCAATTGACGGAAGCGCCTGTGTCCTCGGCATATGCCGATCGAAACTGACCACTCGCACTATTACAGACCGAATTAATGACAAACTCGGTCGGATTCAGGTCTACACCTCGTAATCCCACCTATCACAGGTGATGCCTTGTTACTAGATCTGGACTGGTAAGATCTGAAGGTACCACTACAAGATTCTATCCAATCAACAAGCGATAGAGTTTATGTGAATTCGCTTCGAAAACCAGGAAGAAAACCATTCACGATCTAGGTTGTGACGCCATTGTCATCGTGCAGCTTCCTAAATGTCAATTTGGGCAATAATCCGGGGTAGTGGGAGGGGTCACGCGCCGATCCTCTCAGATATCCCCGCATGCACCATGAGATTCCAGGGGTCTCGGGAATATTTCACACGAAGTAACTAGATGCTATGCGGAGTCAAGCCGGACGGTGCGATAGGATGCATACATGCACAGCCAGACGAGACAGGATGTTCATGATATCTAATTACGAGCGGTCACACGCGTGGAAATGTGATCAGCCTGTTCTTCTGTGTGTACTCAGATGCTTGCCTGATCATATTAGGCCAGCCCAGCGCCGGAGATCTTCTTGCTGTGAAAAGATTACAACCATCTCAATGACTACTTATAACAGACTATGAAGCCGTACTACAGTTCATCTCCCCACAATTTCATCGAACATCAAAACCCCTACATCAATTTGCCGTCATGTTAACATTTCTATTAGTCATAGGCAGTTCCATCATTGCCTCGGCTAAGCCATTTCTTCAACAAGACTCAAGTCGGCAATGGACGTTTGGAAATGATGTGTGGAACGCCACCCAGCGTAGCATCAGGACCGACGAACTTTGGTACGGCAACCGAGAGCTTTTTGGTCAAGCTGTAGGACATTACTATAGCTCGAGTAAGTTGATACTAAAAGTCTCGCACGCTCGTCTGGCCGTATAATGAACTAATCTGCCAAAGGCGTCGCAGCTAACAACTTTACAATCACGGCGGCGTACATACTTGGTGAAGGTGAAGTCGACGGCACTACATACCTCGACTTTTATTTCGAGACGCAGGCTGGCGAACAGCACTGGGTTATTTTCGATGGTCAGCATGGTGCCTACCAATACTTCATCACGTCCGGTTTGAGAGATCCTGGCGAGTTTCGCTCAATCTGGAGACTCGACAACCAGACTTTCACACATGGACACACCAGCGCACGCAACCAGGTCTTGCCCACCTTGGACGAGACCCTTTCCGGCGAGTTCGTCTTTGACTCGACCTATAAGCTCCCGAATGGCACCTACATCACCAAATACGACTTCACAGATTTCATCCACAACTTCGACTACTACGGGGTGTACGGTAATGGAGTGGGGTCTTGGTACATCCACGGTGGTAAAGACTATTTCAACGGCGATCACTTGCGACAGGAACTCGCGGTAAGCTGTGATCTCTGGCACTTCGATACATTCGTTCCTAATGTCACTACTTCTAGATTCACCGTGAGCTCCAGACTGGGGATGTCGCCCAGCTTAACATGATCCAGGGAGGTCATTTCTTCAGCAGTCGAAATATCACGTTGGTTGAGCGGAAAATGGTAGGTAGTGTATCATGTCATCATATTGATTATTTCTAACGAAGTGAACAGTATGGGCCATGGTTGTGGTATCTCAATGACGGATCTTCGACTGACGCGGCCGAGAAAGCCGCGGTAGAGAAAGCATCTTGGCCATACAGCTGGGTCCAAGACAGCGCGTACCACTCGCGTGGTAGCCTCAATGGCAAGCTCACACTTTCAGATGGTCGGCCAGCGTCTAACGCGGCAGTTTTCCTGGGCGATAATAGCGACGCCTTGAGCACACTTCGACAGGGTAGCGCGTACTACTACAAAGTCTACGCCGATGAAGATGGCCTTTTCGAAATTGAAAACGTCCGCACAGGATCGTACGGTCTGGTTGCTTGGGCGAATGGAAGTTCCATTGCTGATGTGAGCACCAACTATACTCAATACAACGTCACGATAGAAAACGATGCCATGACCGACCTTGGGACGCTCATATGGGGCGTTCCCAATGTTACGACAATCTTTCGCATCGGAGAATTCGACCGCACAGCCTACGGCTTCAGATTTGGCGGTGCTCCACGTGAGTACGGTCTCGCAGAACTCTGCTCTGCTTACATCACCTATGAGGTTGGCCAATCGGACCCTAGTGACTGGTGCTATGCCCAAACCCAGAAGGGCAACTGGACAATCAAATTCCCCGTTGAGGGTGGCGTATCGGCAAACAAAGCAAAGTTGATCATATCTCTCGCCGCATACTCTCAAGGCGGTAATTTCCACGTCTTGATTAATGATGTGAAGGTAGCTACAGTCAACTCATCTACACTCGCCAATGATGGTGCTCTGTATCGGAGCTGCACTGCGGCAGGAGAGTGGAGATATCTTGAGTACAGCTTCGATGCGTCTATCCTCCGAATCAATGGCGCGAACGACGTCAGATTCTGGCTGTATGAAAATACTTCTGATGGCTCTGAAACACTCACCAACACATTACGGGGCCCAATGTATGATGCTGTTGCCCTCCGATGGTAATGGCTTGGGGATGGTTCTTAATCTGTCTGCATGGCCAGGAGGGTGTAAGTTGTACTCTTCGCTGTCATTTAATGCAGCATCGCGTTTCTGTTGGCAGGTGGATTTCATGTTCTTCAGATAACCATGTTGTAAACACATTACGCTATTCTACTTTCCTTTCCTCGCCGTGTGCGACGCCTCATCGTCATTTGCACGACCCAAGACCATTTTAATACAGTTTTGCTATCCGTACGAATGTTCCCAGCTCAGAGTCCGAGACTGTATCAAGCGTTTCGTACTGTTTGGTCAGTACCAATTCCTTACTCCATGTAACCTATGGCAAACGATCTATCTTCTTGTGCTCGGTTCAGGCAGCATGGCCATGATGAATAGCTCAAGTTCTGCACTCCAGATACCCCCACCTCATTCAAATGTGGTGAGCTTATACCTCGAGGTATAGGCATGCAAGTGGACTTCAATACTAGATTTCAGTCTAAGAATTGTAGTGCAGTCCTCTGCTTGTCCTAGATCTCTCTGTTGATAACACGTGGCTCAATGGAAATTCCCTTGATTCTTCTCGTGATAGTGTCAATTTTATCGGGTAACGCCTGCAACTCCTTTTTGAAGATGCAATTCTCTTTTCCGTGACAGTCATATCCTTTGGAATTCTTCGCCTTTTGAATGAGGACGTTGACATCCGAGATACTGCACGCCGGGAAGTCTGCTATCGAAGGCCACAGACCACACTCACGCAGAGCTAGAAAGTAGTCCGCCACGCGAACCTCGGCTCGGCAGTGAGTAAGTGCATAACCATGGCTATCGAATCGATTGTTGAGCTGAAAGAGTTGTTTGTCGCCACTTCTCAGAGCCTTTTCCACAGCGAATATCTTCTGTTGTATCTCAGCCAATGCTGCTAGGAGTTGCTTCTCGAGCGCATCTATGCCGGAGTTACATCGCATACCTTCCTTATGAATATGCATCAAAAGATCAATTGCGGGCGGTGTTTACTCTGGATATTCCAGGACAGTCGACCCGTAATTTTGTCTTTGGCTCAGGTGACAAGGAAGTCAGCCGGCATGTGTCGTATTGCAGTGGCTGAGATGATTCTGAACCACTCTGCCAAGTCCAGTAGATAAGCTGCCGTTAACAAAAAGCCATACTCCTCTGGCTTCGTAAGTTTTTCTACGCCTTTGAACCACAGGCCTGACCATGGAACCAGAGCACGGCCACAGTCGTATTTGTCGCTTTGCTGGGAAAGTAATGCAATCGCCCTTGGTTCCATTGATTGATAGCGGTCGAGGTCATGAAAGTGGAGGATGCACAGGAGTTTCTCCATTGCCTTAGGTTCCTCTTCTTTCAGGCTAATTTCAGGGCATTTCCCTTGCCGGACTTCGGACCCTTCCTTGAAATCGGGACCAAAGAGTGTTCTAAAGTATGGCGAGACCAAATAGAGAGTCGCAGAACAAACCAAGAAGCGACCGTGGGCTTTGTTGTTGGAATCCAGAATAACGATGATGGCATCTCCAGACGGGTGCAACTTGACAATCTCCGGGTTCTCGGCGGCTGACTGAACAGATTGAGTGCTCGGAGTACGTGTAGAATCCATTCTGCTATCATTTGAGTCTGAAAGAATTATGGATGCACAAGTATAGTCTAAAAAGTCGTGGATTCTGCAGTTCTTCTTATGCAATATGCCATTCGCGGGAAGAAAGGTTCGAGTTTTGCACCAAGGCGATTCAAGGTTCGGCCGCATTGAAAGTTCAATGTCGGAGGCCCACCATCGGCATAGGCATTGGCATTCGCGGGGTGATAAAGGTTACACTAGCGCTGAGCCTGTACTGAAGAAATTAAATTCTTGGAATCAGACTTCAAATTTCAGGCTGCTCATTTTCTCTCGACGTCAGCCAGTCTAGGCCTTCAACCAATGTGTTGGCAGATGGATGGGTTTTCACATTTTCTAGCTCGACCTCTGCGCGCATTCATGAATGTTATACAGCCTTAGAACTGCCAAATGATTTTGAACTGCGTCCACGGATGTAAAACTGCATTAAGGCAATGGACTGAAGGATTCGCAGGTCGACCTTTGATCAATATGCTACAGAACGCCGTTTTACCAACCGGCGCGGTCTTGTTTTCCCAGCCACATTGACGAGCTGCAACTTCAAGAAATCAGAAAGTGGATGTCTCCTTCCTCTTGCGATTCGACTCGAGCGAAATCCCTTTGATGTCCTTGAGAACGACGTTGACCCTTTCCGACAGCGCGTTCAATTCCTTCTTCAGCTTACAGACTTCCCCGCGATCGCAATGATGCCGTCGAAACTGTGTTAGTAGCTTTGTTCTTTCTCTGATCTGCGAGATAGTTAGACAGGAAGGAGGCCATAGCTTTTCGTCTCGTAGTGCCTTAAAATAATCCGCGACCCGCACGTCAGCCGTGCAGTTCACTATTTTCACTGCATGTACTCCGAACCCGGGCTCGCGAAGCAAGACTACTTCTTGAAGCCTCCATTCAACCTCGTAAATTGTCTCTTGCGCTTCCGCTATGGCTTTCATCGACTTCTTCTCCATCATACCTATGATGTGTTAGTAGCTGATCTCAAGGCCCTAAATATTTTCGTGTCAATACTCTTTATATTCCGCGGGAGTCGATCGATGAGTTCATTGCCGTCCCAGACAGCCCGAAAATACAATGTCATCTGCCGGATGGCTGCGCCTGAGATTGCCCTGAAGTCTTCATCCGAGTCTAGCAGGTAGGCTGCCGTGAGAAGGTAGCCAAACTGCTCGTCTGTAAGCTGGCCAGTTCCGTGAAACCATTTGAAGCCCCACGGAATTATTGCGGCGGCACAGTCGTATTTGTCCCTTTGATATGCTATCAGAGCGACTGTTTTTGGCTCCACGTCCCGGAAATGATGAAGGTTATGGAAATGAAGCATTGAGAGAAGAATACCCATTTCTTCGGGCCAGTCCTCCTCGAGGGCAATCTCAGGACAAATGCTCTTTCGAAGGTCTGCACCTTCCTTGAAATTAGGCCCGAAAAGTGTTCTGAAGTACGAAGAAGCCAGGCTTAATGTAGCAGAAGATACGAGAAACCGGCCGTGACATTCAGCCCCACCAGGGCCGAATATGACGATGATGGCATCTCCAGATGGGTGTAGCGCCACAACTTCCAGCTTTTCTGCATCTGCATCGGCAGGATGCTGGGTGGGCGTTGGGGATGTATCCATCTTGTCAATTATGTGTTTGTGGTAAAGGAGTAAATTACCTGATAGAGGGAGAAACTGCTTGCTGGGTGCCAGCTTATAATAAATGTCTTCCGTCTTCTACTCCTCAATATGCCGTGGGGTCGTACCAGTCACAAGCCATCCCCAATAGTGCTCAAGCTTTGCTGAGACTCAGAGTTTTACGTCGGAGGCCAACTGCCATCACGACGAATGAGATCGCAAGGCTTTCGGGATTCGACCTGCACCTGGGAAGTGACATCCCAGCCATGAGGACATCATCTAAACAAAGGAAAGATTTCGTCCTTTTTATCGGCGATGATGGCTTGAGATTAGTAGAGACTTTGGCGGGGGCTGCGACGTACTTGCTTGTGAAACTGAGATGACGTCTTACTGACTTTTCGGGCAAACTGTTGACGACCATACAGATGCTCCTGATTGAAGCTACTATGCGTGCAGCTCTTCTGCTTAAAAGTCCTCATCGTTATTCCAAGCACGATGCGACGAAAAAAATCACTGAATCACAAAACGTCTAATTCTTCATCAATTTGATATTCAACTCTCCAACGCCGAGTCCATTACCATAAATCGTTAGTCTATGTACCTTGGGAATCTAGTTTGCCTCGCTCTCCAACTGCCGCCTCCAGATCTTGACAGGCATCTCACCCAAAAGCCAGTTCATCGTCTCCTCGCGCTGAAGCTCAAAGTCCCTCGGCAACGCGAACTCGTATCTGTGGACTACTGAAGCCAACAATACGGCTTGCTCCAGGTATGAAATGTTGCGACCGATGCATCCTCTCGCGCCAGCGGAGAAGGCGAGGAAGTAGGGCTGAAGCTCCTTGCCCTTCTCTCCAAGCCACCTGTCAGGGTCGTACTTGTGCGCATCAGGGAAAATGGTCTCATCACGGTGGGCGACGACACCGGACATACTGACGGTAGTGTTGCCAGGCACCCACTCGCCCATGATGTACATACCCTCGGGAGGGGTCTTGCGCATCAGGCCTTGAGGCGTTGGGGGGAACAGGCGGAGGGATTCATCGAGGCAGGCACGGAGGTAGGGAAGGTGCTTGACCTTGTCGTAAGGGGCGATGACTTCGTCGGTATCAAGTACACTGTCGACTTCTTCGCGGAGGCGCTGCAGGTATTTGGGGTTCTTGAGGAGCTGGTAGAGGACGTTGGTGACGGCGATGGCGGTGGTGACGCTGCCGGCGTTCATCATGATGTTGATCTCGGCGACGATTTCACCCCACTCAAGGTTGTTGGGCTCGCCATTCTTGCTCTCCATGAGGGCCTGGAAGAAGTCATCGAGCTTCTCGCCGGCGTTGTAGCGCTTGAGTCGGTTTGAGGAGATTTGGAGCACGATGCCGTCCCAGCCCTTGGAGGCTTCGGTCATCTTGCGGTAGTAGGGGATGATGTTGGAGAGCTTGTCGATGAGCTTGTAGTTCTCGTAGGACCAGAGGAGCAGGGATTGCTTGCGGGCAGTGGGGTAGAGAGAGTCGCGCAGGCCAACCTCCCATGTGCTTCCATCCTTGTGCTGGGCAAGAACTCTGTCGTGGCCCCGGTCAAGAAGGCCCAGGCGTTCTGAAGCACCAATATCGGCGATAGCATCAAGAGTGAAGAAGTTGGTCCACTTGCGGTAGTCGACTGTCAGGTCCTCTGGAGCAGGGAACATCTGGCCCTTAGGGAGAGGACCGGTGCAGCGCTCGTCAAGTTGCTTGAAGAGTCTTTCGACTTTATCGGCAACTTTGTGCTCCCATCCCTCGAGGTTCTTCAAAGCATAGGCCGAAGAAAGGACCTTGCGCTTCCTTGCGTGGTCGTGCTTGTCAATGACATCGGCGAGGTGGAAGTGAGAGCCGGCAGTCAAGTCGTAGGACTCATCCTTGATGCAAGGGGTTCCGTGACCGTAGATGTCCTTGATAGCGCGGACGTCGCTGAAGGAGAGGGCGTTGGGACCAGTGCGGAGAATGGGACCCTTCTCTTTGTGAAGTTCGACGAGATGTGTTGATCGGGCGCCGGTGCGGGCCAGAATCATGAAGGGAATGTTGGAAGCGCCGGAAAATGTGCTGAAGTTTTCGAACTTGCGCATACCTATTTTGTTAGTGCGTTCATCCGATGTCCAGGGGGATGAGTCTTACCCTTTGAGTCCTTAAAGTACACGACGAGAGGGTAAATGATGAAATAAGACAAGGCAACGAAGAAAACGCCCGCCGCATAGGGGGCATGCGAAAATGTTGAAAGCGTTTCCAGCGCCATGTCTGTTGCTAGATCCCCAAAGATCTGAAGTAGACGAGACAAGTGGTTGAAGTTGGAGTGGTGGTGTTTGGTGTTTGGTGTTTGGCTCTTTCTCGGCTCAGGGCTGGACCATCTCTTGAACTAAATAAGCTGCCGCCATGGGGACACTCAAAACATGAAAGTCACGAGAATGGCAAAACATAGACCGGCGAGATGATGCCCACTCTGGAAAGACTGCCCGCTTGGCCTCGCCTCCACTCGTTACGACACGTTCTCCGCATTATGCACGTCACAGGTGCCCAATATCTCCCTCCTTCATCTGCGCTGTCAAGAATAGCTGAAGTGTCTTGCCCCCAAAGATGTACAAGCGGGGGGGGAAGATGGGACGCAAGACAAGCGAAGACCAAATCCGCGGGGGAACCGATGCGCCAAGACACACGGTAATAGATGGCAACAGTGTGGTGCCGCATTAGAGTGACAGATCGTGGGGATATCTCGGGGACCGTCACACCCCTTTTTCGCCGCAAAGGACGCGGGGGTTGACTTCATCACACGGCGAAGATCCACGGCCCGGCGAGTTCTCTAGCTCAACAAGGCAACTTGCGCCGCGGGATAACCACTTTAAACTTGAGAGGTGGGTATTCCCGACCAGGCCGGCGGGATCGGTGTTCCAGCCGTCGACGGAAAAAGACTCAAAAAGTTGGGGAACTTGGGATCCACGAGGAAGTTGTTGGCACGCAAATGCTTGTTGGCCAATGCTACACTGCCTTACATGACCCTGCGCTATCTCGATTCCGCGGGATACCTCGCCTATCTTAGTCTAGATCAATTGCGTCCTCCAACTCGTCTTCGTGTCCCCCGCGGGGAAGTGGATTGGTTCCCCAACTTTTGAGCATGCAGTCTGACTCAATGGGGCAATGCTTCCCCGCAACTTGCCTATGTGAAATCATTTAGGAAATTCTTTCGGCGAAAGTTGGCGTTGCTGGACCCGCTGCGGTCATGATTCACATGCTGTTCGTATTTGGAAACTCTCACGATGATTATCTTGGAGCTGTTCGCACTTATTATCTCGACATCTCGGGCGCATGGTCACTTACTGCGCGAACACGGCAAACCCATTGACTTTTATTTCACCTGAACAAACCGTCTTCAGAGCTGTTGTCATCCGTTTTGTTGCAGACATCATGTCAATCCCGGGGCCTCTTCCAGAGAGCACTCTGAAGCTGCTCAGCCAGCTGGCACCAAACACCTTCGCAGATACCGCAGCTCTCGCAGCTGCCGGGCTGTTGTCCGCTGCTTATGTCTTGCGCGGATACACATGGGATAAGCCCGATCCGTACAACTACATTTGGTACGAGAAGCCCCAGCAGGGAGCTGGCGGCAACGCTGCAAAGAAGTCCAAGAACATCGCTGAGAGGCTAGAAGAGCTCGTAAGCACATCTGATCATCCCATGTCACCAACTTCGCTAATGGTTCCCCGCAGGGCAAAGATGTAGTCGTCTTCTGGGGCTCGCAGTCTGGCACTGCTGAGGGCTTCGCCAACCGTCTGGCCAGAGAGCTCCATCAGCGATTCCACCTCGAGACCATGTCCGCCGACCTCTCAGACTACGATGCCGACACGATCGCACAAATCCCCCAGACCAAGCTTGCCATCTTTATTCTTTCAACTTATGGCGAGGGAGACCCCAGTGACAACGCCGGCATGTTCTGGGATTGGATCACCAAGCTTCAGGACAAGCCCTTGACCTCCCTCCGCTATGCAGCCTTCGGCTTGGGAAACAGCAACTACAGATACTACAACAGAGTCGTCGATGTCGTCGACAAGGCTCTTGAGGATACAGGTGCATCGCGTCTCGCGCCGGTCGGACGTGCCGACGACGCCGAGGGCGCCACCGAGGAAGATTTCCTCTCATGGAAGGACGATCTCTACAAGGTCTTCCGTGAGACTCTCAAACTCACGGAACACGAGGTGAAGCACGAGCCTTCATTATCAGTTGTCGAGGATGAGTCGCTGGAGATTCAAGATCTGCACATTGGCGAACCAGTACATCTCATTGAGGGGTCTGGAAAGTCTACGGCAAACTCTGCTATCAAAGCTCTCAAGATCAAGAACGCCTACGACTTGTTCTCGTCTCCAGGACGCAGCTGTCTTCACTTGGACCTTGAGCTGGACAGCGGCTCACAACTCACCTACAAGACTGGCGATCATCTCGCTGTTTGGCCCATCAACCCCGACCAAGAAGTTGACCGCCTTCTCAACGTCCTCGGCCTCTCAGAACGCCGCAGTGTCCCCATCAGCATCAATGCTCTGGACGCTGCCGTCAAAGTCAGAATTCCCACTCCTACCAACGTCGAGACGCTGTTCAGGTACTACCTTGAGATTTGCGCCGCCGTTCCAAGAGACACTGTCCGCGGTCTTGCTCAGTTCGCTCCTTCGGCTGCTGCAAAGGAGCTCCTTCTGAACCTCGGTAGAGACAAGGACAACTACGCCGGCTTCCTTGCCTCCAACCACCTCACCATCGGCAAGCTTCTTGAGCTCGCCCTCAAATCGGATGAGACCCAGGCCTCAGCAACGTGGTCTGGTATCCCCTTGTCATACCTTATCGAGAATCTACACCGATCTCAGCCCCGCTACTACTCCATCTCTTCCTCTAGCATTGTTTCTCCCAAAGCCCCTAGCATTACTGTCGCTGTTTCTGATACCCCACTATCTGCATCTCCTACCACTGCCATTCCTGGCTTGACAACAAACTACCTCCAAGCCCTTTCAACTTCACTTCAAGAGTCCCAAGCGACTCAGCAGACGGAGGGTCTCAGCTATGCTCTCACTGGTCCATCAAACGCTCTCGAAGGTGGGCTTGTCTACGCCCACATCCGCCGTTCCAAGTTCAAGCTTCCCATGTTGTCATCACACCCCTTGATCATGGTCGCTGCTGGTACCGGTCTCGCTCCCTTCCGCGGTTTCATCGCCGAGCGCCTCCGTCTACAGTCCATCGGCAAGGATGTTGGCCAAATGCTGCTCTTCTTTGGATGCCACAAGCCTGATGAGGACTACATCTACCGCGAGGAGCTTGAGCAGATGGAGAAGGATCTCGGCGGCAAGTTGAAGATTGTCACCGCCTTCTCAAGACAGCAAGGTACCAAGAAGACCTATGTTCAGGATAAGGTCCGGGAGTTAGGCAAGGATGTTTCCGAATTGTTGGCAGATGGTGCCAGCTTGTACATGTGCGGCAGAGCAAGCATGGCGAGAGAGGTTGGCAAGACGCTTGGTGATGTGATGAAAGCAGACAAGGGCTGGGATGATTTGCAGGTCAAGGACTGGAGCGAGGCATTGAAGCGCAACCGCAAGTGGCAAGAGGATGTCTGGGGATAGATAGCATGGCATCAGAATGAGTCTACGACCCTAGGATATGGTGTATGGTTTGGGTTTGGCGAAGGTAGCGTTTGTATGGTTTACGAAATAGATTCAGAGCGGCTCTCTTGCATCTACCAACAGATCCTATTTCCTTAAGTGATATCATTTTCTAAAACGCTGAGTTACCACACAGACTGTTCGTGAGGCTGTAACAGGGATTTGGGTTCTCAATATACCGAAGTTATTGGTGTGGTGAAGCTCTTGGACTGGTCTGTTTGGCAGTAGGTGGTTCCTCTGCTTCCTGCAAGACTTCAAGCAAACCCAACCGCAACAACGTACCCGACTGTCTGGTCTCTCATCCCAAGATAGCGTAGGCTCTTGAACTTCACTTGCTCAAATCGGAAATTATCTCCTTGGGCTAGGCCATAAAGTGTGTGCATGGCTTTGTCAGGAAGTCCAAGGCTCCGCCAGACCGGGATGAGGGTCTGGACATCCGCCGACGTGACATCTTGCCAATCATTCATGAGCACCATTTCTGCGTGGGGGTTGGCTGGACGGGCATTCACGATATCCAATTCTCAGCGACGGAGTTGCGGCAAGTCATGGCGTTTCACTGCTACTCGGATTCAGTCCCCTTCAAGTGGAAACACCAATATCGCAAGAACGTCAACATGCAGAATAAGATGGAGACGGAAAAGCACCAACTACCCACATCTTCATAACCCGCGGGTTCCTGCTGGTGTCTAGCCCGGGCTCATCCCGAAACATGACAGGGCTTAGATCGGACTGGACGAAGACCCCTTGTGCGTGCATCATGATGTCTCGCGTATGCATTTTGACAGAGCCGCAGATTCACATCAACTGTCAAGTTGAACAGTGATCATTCCCAGCCATCTAGTTGGTCGCATGGGTGGCCGCGTGAAAGGAAATGGAGCTGATTTGGTGTGGGCGAATAAGCTTTATCCTTGTTCTGTTCTGAGTCCCGCGGGTTACTCTACCCCTTTTGGCAGGTAATCCCACATGCAAGTCCCTGACTCGTTGAAGGCTCCTCGTTTTGACCAGGATCTCCACGTTCATCCCGCTCACTTTTCTTGGGGAGAGACTCATCTGCCGCCGCCTCTGATCCGCGGGCTAAACAAAATTCCTTCTGTTCACGGCAGTCACAAGACTGCGGGCTCCAATCGGAGCCGCGAAATTGATAATGTCAGTGGAAGATGTATCCTCCCCCAGTGTGGGGGAATATCTGGGGCAAACTCTGATGCATGCAAAATCTGGGGCAGGCGGACGCCATCCCAACCGCTTGGTCCACCGTCCTGTCTATTCTCGTATCTAGTGTAATCAGCGCTGTTCCCATCGGCTGCACAGTTGCGTATCGTTTCCTTCATTGTTTGCGATGACATCATTCTTCTCTGAAGTTGCCGAGACCCATGTACGGGCCCATAGGGCGTGTTCTGTGCTGTAACCGACGGAAAGTCTTCGAAACCTCTCGCAATGATTCCGCGTCGTCGTTGGAACTCCTCTGGTATTCTTAGTACCATATCGTCTTGCAATTCAAGGGGCAAACATACGGAAAGATGCCGACATAACATCGCTGATACCGATGGGCTGGCCTCCCTTTCATACGGAAAATCAATACCATGTTTTCGACATCTCCACGCTGATTACAGTAAGGCGCTTGCTGATAGACGAATCTGCCAAGGCGTTGCGTCTCAGACGAACGAATAACAGATGCGGCGGGCTTTTAGTACTACTTTAGGCATGGCTTAGTATGGGTTCCCCCGCGTATCCCGGACGCGGAAGCACCCCAGACAACCCACCCCCGCATTTAATTCAGCTACGCTACTCAGCAACGCTCAGGTGTTGGGGAAACGAGATGAGGGGGCTACTGGTTGTGTTGCGCGGTGTTTGAGGAACCAAGGTAACTTCGCCCGGGCTTTCTCTAGAACCCTGCTCCAACATGCCGGATGTAACGAGGATTCCGTCTGGTTCTGTAAAGGCACGGATGAGGGGATTCAAGTTGGCAGGGCGCGTGTGTTGTCTACCCATACAACGAACTCATTCGAGTAATAAAACCCCGCGACCCACCTTGGCGCGCTCTTGATGGACTAGGGGTGTAGTAGTCTCATGGGGAGAGAGGCATTGACTCAAATTCTATATAAGCATGTGTGTGGTCGCCTTCGTCCGATGATGGTTCGAGCTTCTAATCTAGCAACTGGCCTCAGCCTCAATACCGAACCCCACGGCAATAATCCTTCTCCCTACATCCGCCTCTTGCAACGTCTTTCTTGTGAGGCTAGTCAGCACACTCCTCGGACAAGATGTCGCAAACAACCCCCGACGCCGACAGCAAGAACCTGTCGAGAGAAGTGTCTCTCGATAAGGTAAAAGTCGACGGAGTTGCGAAGCACGTCGAGCAATCTGACGGCGTACAAGTCCCCAGCTATGATGATTCCATCGAGGATACTGAGCCGTCCAGAGCTGTATGGCTTATCACCTTCACTGTGGCGATGGGTGGTTTTCTGTTCGGTAAGTTCTAGCTCCTATGCTGCTGATACGCAGCGCGAAAGTTTCCATGGAACGCGCGGGCCCTAATCTTGACTTTAACAGGATACGATACCGGTGTGATTTCGGCCGTCCTGGTCAGTCTCAAGTCGGACCTCGGACACGAACTATCGACCTCGGAGCAAGAGCTTGTGACATCCATCACCTCCGGCGGCGCCCTGATTGGGGCCATCATCGCCGGTCTTCCTGCCGACAGATACGGACGCAAGCTCGGTATCTACATCGGATGCGTTCTCTTTCTTATCGGCTCAATCATCCAAGCCGCGGCTTTCTCGCTGGCCCAGATGACAGTCGGTCGCTTCATTGTTGGATTGGGTGTTGGATCTGCCGCCATGATCATCGTAGGTTTCTCGAACCCCAAGCCTGACACATTTGATACTGAGGCCTCGAGACTAGCCTCTTTATATCGGCGAGCTGGCCCCTGCCAGACACCGCGGCCGCATGATTGCCTTCGATAATATGAGTGTGACTCTTGGTCAACTTATCTCTTATGCTCTTGGAGCCGGCTTCACTGAGGTTGCCCACGGATGGCGCTACATGGTTGCCGTTGGTGGTCTGCCGCCTATCGCCCTTGCTTTGCTGCTACCGTGGTGCCCCGAGTCACCGCGACAGCTTATTTCCCACGGCAAGGTTGAAGAGGCTACCCGAGTCATCAGACGCGTCTATCCCCATGCCACGGAGGAACAGGTTCAGGCGAAGATGGGACACATGACCTGGGCTGTTGAGGTTGAGGCACAGGCTACGTCTACTTCCCTGTGGCACCGCTTCAAGGAGCTTCACACTGTTCCCTCCAACCTGCGCGCTCTGATTTGCGCTTGCGCTATCATGGCCAGTAAGAATACCCGTTTCAACGTTGAAAGGATGAAACTGACAATGATAGTCTCTCAACTCGGCGGCTTCAATACTTTGATGTACTACAGCGGCGTTCTCTTCGGACTCGTTGGCTTCGATAAGCCAGTCGCCGTCTCCATCGTCGTCGGCGCAACCAACTTTATCTTTTCCTTGGTCAACTTGTTGGTTATCGATCGACTTGGCAGACGCCGTATTCTCATTTTCACTGTCATGGGAATGGTGAGTTTCCTAAGCACTAATCCTTTCGACACAATACTGACTCATCCTAGTCCATTAGCATGGCCGTCGCTGCAATCGCATTCCACTGGATCCCAGTCTCACCCGACCTCAAGTTGCAAGCCACCTCGGTAAACTGGGCGGGTATCCTCGTCCTCGTCACCATCATCGTCTACGTGGCCTGCTTCGCCGGTGGAGTTGCAACCATTGCCTGGGTCGGCACTGAGCTGTTGCCTCTTGAGGTCCGCGCCCTCGGCACCATGATGAACACCGTCACCTGCTGGGGCTGCAATATCATCATCGCTTCGACATTCTTGTCTATGATGAAGGGTCTGACGCCTAGCGGTGCTTTCGGCTTCTATGCAGGTATCTGCTTCTTTGGCTGGGTCTTTGTCATCTTCTGCTATCCGGAGGCAAACGGCTTGCCGCTTGAGGAGGTTCGCCAGATTTTCTCCACTGGATTTGGCGTCAAGAAGGCGAATGAGTTGCAGAAGATGCGCAAGATGACTGGGGGATCGGCTTGAAACTATTGAGAGACCAATTTGTCTCTACAGATAGCACTTTATAGCGTTGATAAATCAAGAAGCATGATCAAATTGTAATCTAGGACTCTAGGTGATTGAACCGGATATGTCTAGTTGCTGAAGTAGACCGATCACTTGCCCACATATGAGCTTACAGGAGGTCCTAGGTAGCTTTCCTTCACTCCTCCTAAGTCAACCGCTATCTTCTCCAAGATTAGGTTCGAATGTCTCAACTGAATCTTGATGGTGTGTTTCCCAGGACCCAAATTGAATTTGCTCAAGTTGTGAGTTCGTAACCAATTGCAATCCTGGACTGCATGGAACCATCCTTCGGGATGATCTGCGCGATCTTCCTTTTCTAAGAGCGGCCACATTCCACCGGACTCCTCGTCAACTTGGAAATGGTATGCCATCGTGTCTTCGGGGTCAAAATCCAAATTCATGTTGAAATACAACTGCAGCGTCGGGCTCGTGGCTTGTGAGAAGACATAAAAGGTATAACTGAGATGTTCCTTGGGTATCTTCATCATATCGATAACAGAAACTGCTCCATTCGCGGTTCTACCGCAGTCCGGCAGCAGTCTGTACTCAGGTGGATGATAATGCGAAGCTGGGATGGAAACGCATCCGTCGCTTTCGACGAACCCGCCACTGAACGTCTTCGGAACTCGTCTGCCAGTGATTGGAAGGTGAACCTGTTCGAAGTCGCCTTCTTGGGATTGAATGTCAATCAGAACTTCCTGGTCGAAATCGTCCGGCACCTTCTCCCAGTCAACGGCAATCCAGATGCGTACGTCGTCGCCATCAGGAACAAGCGTGCCCTCGGTGGTAGAGAGCTGAACCCACGGAACCGGGGAGGACGCTATCCAATGTATGACTTGGTTCCCTCTTGTGAAGATATCAAACCACCTCTTTGATGGCCCATATCGGCTCATGGGACCTAAAGTGACTCCGGGCACCAGGTCTCGTCGGCTGGGATGCGTTCGGTCAGATTCTTCGTTCGTTCTTCCTGGGCGAACGCCCGCATGGCCTTCGACGGCAACTCCCATTTGGCCGACGATTGGGTTGGAGTTCTGCCGACGCTGGACATAACACAGGCCACTGATCATATCACGCGACGGCGCGTGCCAGGTATCGCCGAAGCCGTAATGCGTCTGGCTCATGATGTGGTTCCACTTTCCGCCAAGCAATGAATGGAACTCTTCACTGAGAGTGTAGTCATCGTCAAAGAGGTCGAGGACCTCACGAGCTAGTTTGTTTGCAGTGTTGCGTCTTTGGCGAGCATACAGCTGGTTTCTTCCTAGAGTGACCTGGAGTTTGGTGAAGATTTGGGATGCTTTGACAGGATGCAGGACTGTCTCGAATATTGCCGCCTTCTGGTATTCCGGTGCGCGGTCGTGGATTGCTTGGGCCGAGTCGAGGAGCGAGTCCCATCGGTTAACGACACTTTCTGCCTCGCCATAGTGCATCATGGAGAATGTAGTCGGCTCAATGTGTTCATGCCTTCGCAGTGCGGCTAGTCTGTCGTACCGATGCCATATGTCTGCGATCTCCGTTGCCAGGCCTGAACCAAAGTTGGATTCAGCCATGGACGTGTAGAATTTGACGAAATTTTCTGCTTCGATGGATTTGATGTCCCAAGCCAGCGCCATTGCAAAGGTGAGTGGGACTTCCATAGGTTTAATGTCGCCCACGTTGAAGACCCAAATCTGCTTTGCGTTGCGCCGATGCGCCTCCTGTAGTTGGTGCCACGTTTTCCCCTATTTTCACACGTCAGATCAAGTTGGCTCTACGTTCTGAAGATCACTGGCGCTCACCAAGGAGTTGCTGTTGATCCACTTGTAGCTGCGTGGAGTCCCTACGTATTCGAAGTGGTAGTATATCTATGCCCGGTAAGTAACTTATCACAGCGAAAACTTGTTTCTTTTGACTTACACCTGCGCCTCCCGTTCTACTCATTTCTTTCTTCGTCGGGAGACGTCTTATGCTTCCAAAGTTGTCGTCCGCAAATAGAAGAGTCACATCATCAGGTACATCAATCGTTCCACTCTCATACTGGTCTTGTACCTCCTTGTACAAGGCCAGAAGCTCTGTAGAAAACCTTCGGGTTAGCTTTCATCCCAATCTTTGACTTGATCATGAACGTACGGGGAACCGCATCCTCCCTGCCATGGACCTCCTTGATGACGGCTCTCTGAGTCTTAATCACGTCGCGGACCACAGCCGCTGGGTCATCCGTCTTCATCCCTTTGTCATACTCTCCACGCATTCCAATCGTAAAGTAAGACTCGATGCCCTTCGCTCTCTTAACTCCTTCCTCGAAGAACTCGGTAATCTTCTTCTTGTTTGTCAGCCAGTTCCAGCTTCCGTCTGGGTTATCCGCAAACCACTCGTTCGTGGCCCGCTGCATGGGCTCATGATGCGAGGTTGAGACGGCGATGCCATAGTCATTCGCAACTTTGGCATTTTCGGAGTCATCCGTGAAGAAGCTTGCACCAGGATTGGGGTACCCGGGCCACATTGCGGGCCACATGAAGTTCGCCTGCAAGTGTTAGCAGTTGAGCATGTCTCGTTCAACAGTGTTTATGAACCTTCAGTCTTAGCAGTAACTCAAACACATTTTTGTAGAACTCCGAGTTGTAGCCTCCAAAGTTGTCTCTAGCCCATCCTGTGAGGGCGGGAGCTTCATCGTTGATGAAAATGCCACGAAACCGCACGCTGGGCTCTCCATTGTGCGTAGGCTCAGGGAGGGCGTATATCTCCTCGTGGTGTTTGGGAGGCACATCTGCCCAGAAGTACCAGCTACCATCTTGTCAGTAAATGTTCGAGTACTCTTACATTCAACTTACGGTGACACCCCGATCTGCTCAGACAACGTGTAAGAACCAAATATCGCTCCGCGCTTGTCGCTCCCTGCAATCACAAGCGCCTTTCTGCATCCCGGAAAGGGGTCGGTGACAGGGGCTGTCAGGAATGACTCCCACTTTCCGCGAATTTGGCCGAAGTCGAGCTTTCCATCCTTCTCCAACCGTTGGAGCAGACGACTCGACTCGATGCATCCAATGAGAATGCCCACGTCCGCGCCAGTGTCAGCATCGACTTCGTGTTCCTTGGACACGAGCAAAGGCTTCGGGTCAGACTTTGTGACGCGGCCAAAGTCGTTGGCAAGATTCTGTGCCGCAATGTGAATGCCGATGGGGTCTGATTCGTCAACCACGATGGTTGCACCGACCAGATTGAAGAGCTCGTCGCCCTCTGAGCGCGAGAACGCTACGATGGGCTGCTCGAACATGATGCTGTTGACTCACACGCTGCTCGCACTGATACTACGGCTCTCTGGTCACATTTGCTACAACGACAGATTGTTCCCCTCAAAATACCTGGGCGCCGGTGTCTCCCGGCCCGAAGTCGGTAGCCCGCCAAGGCCGATCTCTATTCAGGCGCCTCAGCCGGAGTGAAAACCGGGTCTCTCGACAGGAGGATCAGCTAACTGACTTGAGTTCCCCAATGGGGACGACAGAAGCTTCTCCGCACGACAGGCCACGCTCACGGGGTGACCTGGTTGGCCAAGATGGACATCCCGATAGCCGGCCCGGACTCCTCCCCCGCACATCACCCCGGTCCATCCCCGCCTCCGCATCAGCACGCTTGGGCCTCTGCCTCCAGCTTTGTTCACGGTAAATATGACCGGCCGGCCAAACATAGCCGAGGCGTCTGGGTTCGTTTGGCGAGGTGTCGCAGCGTCGACGGGAACTGGTCTGGTTTAGGTGTAGCGGTCGGTGCAATGGCTGCAAATGGCCGCGTGTGCTTAGATGGTCGCGTGGATGGTCCTGAGGGTTGCTGTGCTGGAAGACACCCCGGCGCTCCCAAGCTTTCGGGACGTATGTCTCTGTTGATCTGGGCCAAGGTTTGTGCCGGCTTACTTAAAAGCTTGGGGTGCGCCTCAAATCTTCTTCCGACCTCTTGATGATGCTTGGTCCCTCTTCCTAGTTGTAAGGGCAGACTACACCTCACCCATCTTTCGAGCAATATTTCTACACGGTCCAGTCCATGATGGGCAACAAGGACGATGTGAACGAGGCGCCTGAGGTGGTGGAAGACGCAGGCGAGACGAAGCAGCAGACTAACTACGCCTTGGTCGACCGAGAAGTTGCCCAATATGCCAGCGAGGGCATCGTCGACATCGACGAAGCGACCAACAAGAGATTGAAGAGAATGATTGACAAGAGGGTCTTGGCGGTGATGATCTTCACGTACTTCATGCAGTCTTTAGATAAGGGAACGATGTCGTTCGCGTCCATCATGGGCATCATCGACGACACAAACTTGAAGGGGCAAGAGGTATGTCAATGACCTGGTTGTGATTAGGGCTCTGCTGATGGATCTTAGTACGCCTGGCTGACGACGATCATCTACATCGTCATCCTCTGTGTGGAATACCCAGTATGTGTGATAACACAGTTCATTGACGAACTGAAAGCTGATCAAAGTTAGGAAAACTACATTATTCAAAAGATTCCGATCGCGAAGTGGCTTGCTTTCAACATCATCATGTGGGGAGTAACTCTTAGTCTGCACGCAGCCTGTCACAATTTCGTCGGTCTTGTAATTGTCCGTGGCTTTTTGGGCGCGTTTGAGGCCGTCTGCCAGCCCAGCTTCGTGCTGTTGACATCCATGTGGTACAAGCGTGAAGAGCAGGCGACCACCGCAATTCTTTGGTACGTACGCATGCGCTATATCGAGTTGTCTAGTACACTAAGACAAGAGCAGGTACATGATGAACGGTCTCCAACAAATCATTGGCGGACTTTTGGCTTTCGCCTTCTCCTTCATCTCACACTCCTCGCCAATCAAGTCATGGCAAGCTCTCTTCATGAGTTATGGCATCATCACTGTCTTCTGGGGCCTCTTCGTCCTGTGGTGGATGCCTGACTCGCCCATGAAGGCGCACTGCTTCAGTGAGGAGGACAAGAAGCTCATGGTAGAGCGGGTTTGTTCCAATCGGACCGGTCTTCAGAACCGTAAATACCGCAAAGAGCAGGTCTGGGAGGCTTTCAAGGATCCTCAAGGTCAGTCAGCATGCGACGTCTCGCCTTCCATCAGCTGACGCTTGTAGTCTATGGATTTGCTCTGATTCAGCTTCTCACCACTCTTCCCTCTGGCGGATTGGGTGCCTTTGCCAATATCATCATCAAGGTAAACCACATCCAACCGAAACCTCCCTGATGCGGTCTCTAATCGTTCACCAGAGCTTCGGCTACACTACCTGGCAGACTCAGCTTCTCCAGAGCGTAACGGGCATCCTGCAGATCATCACGATGGTAACGGCCGCTTGGATCGACCGACGCTACAAGCAGACAATCCTCGCCATGATGGCTGCCGTTGCACCCACCATCGCAGGCACCGTCGTCCTTCTCACGGTCCCGTTCGAACCCAGCAAGAAGGTCGGCCTGTTGTTTGCCTATTATATCATGATCTCTTTCTGGGCCTGCAGCGGCCTCGCTCTTTCGCTCGTTACACGTAACGTCGCCGGCCAAACCAAGAAGGGCGTCGTCATTTGCAGCAACTTCGTTTTCTGGGCTGCTGGCAACTCCATTGGGCCTCAGGTGTTCCGCTCGCAAGATGCGCCTCGCTACTTTCTAGCCCTGGCTATTATCATTGGCTGCTTTTCTCTGCTAGAAGTTACGCTGTTTGCTCTGCGCACGTACTACGTATGGCAGAATAAGTCGCGCGAGGCCAAGATCGTGCGAGGAGAAGCGGTTGCGGATGTTGCCCATGCGCATGCTTTCGAGGACATCACCGACAAGGTACGATGCCATGTATAATTTTTCTCATCGTGGTAATATAATGCTAACTCAGCCCAGGAAAACGTCAACTTCAGATACAACTACTAGAGAGAGTCTTTGCCAGCCCCGCTGGATGAACGCAACGCTTGTCTGCAAGGAGCGCGCTTGGGAGGATGCCAGGTCACTAGTAAACATTGCGTATGAGCCCGGTGAGATATGTAAATATTGCAGCGTGGAGTGGATATGAGATATTGATACCCAATGAGCACCTGCGTACATGCATGACTGAGGATCTCGAATCGAGCCAAAATGAGCAGACAATTCTCGTGCACTGCTACGCCTCCAGGCTCTGACTATGACCCGAACATCGCTTAAGACCATCACATGATAATAACGGCAAAAGAACGCTCTTCAGGGTGGACCCTGAAGCCATTGGGCGCAACGTTGCAATTTGCCAGACCCAGGTTTCCCCTCACCAGCCCCGGACAACATTTCTAGTACCCCAGACCCCACGAAATCCACTCCCCTAACGGGCGAAATTTGTGGGTTGACCGCCTTGTTCATGTTACGAGAGGGGCATATGCGAGGGTCTCGCACCCAAGCCATTAATGACGGTGGAGGAACCATGCTGGACTAATCGTTTCTGGTGGATGACGCGTGTTGCATGTTTGCTCACAGTGCTCAGCTGGCCGCCAGCCTCCAAATTTGGTATCCCAGTAAGCATATCCCGGCTAGTACGAGCAAAAGATGCCATGGGCTCGACACGATGGATTGCGTGGGGGGTCGTCGGCACCGAACTCCCCAGCCAGTCGGGATTGACACCCGGTGATTGCCGGCCGGATATCGGTTGTTGGTGCGGAGAAGAGGCCGATGGAGGGGTTCACTCCGACGAAAGGCACAGATAACGTGAACTTTTAGGCGTCGATAGTATACATTCTCAAGTTTTGTGCCTTCAATCTTGCCAGGAAGAGTCGCTATTCGAAACTTAGGGATACTCTACTCTGCGGCCACTCAATATGTGTGGACATGGGACTTCCTATGGCCACCAGCCGGCCTCCTCAACAAGTTCATACCCTTTGAGGGCACCAGCTCCGGTAGGCAAGAGAGTGAATAAGCTTTACCGAGACCGAACGGCCAACTTTTATTCTCCGGGACAATGGGAGAAGGTCAATCTGCTTTCGTACGGCCCCATTCACTGATCTCGACTCTGGCCGATCTGACTAACAATATTCCAATAGGATGCTGCATCTGGCAGTATGCTCTCAGCCGCCAAACCTCCAACTCTCGGTTTGGGACAGCCCTGGCACAAGCCGGCCGTCATTCTCGGAAGCCACAGCTCAGACGAACGAGTTCCGCAAGACCCAAATTGGGGAATCATTCGGCCCTTCATGGTCGACCCACTGGTTTCGTGTTGAGATCACGATACCCGAAGAGATGCGCCAGATGGAGCACCTCGAGCTACACTGGGACTGCAGCAACGAGGCCACCGTCTGGACGGCCCAGGGCGAGCCCCTCCAGGGGCTGACTGGCCGTGGCGAACGCATCGAGTGGGCCATCCCGGAGGCGTTCAAAGACGGCGAGATGCACACCGTATTTATCGAGATGGCGTGCAACGGCATGTTTGGAAACGCGGCCGGCGATCCCATCTTCAAGAACAACGCCAACGGCAACGCGATCCAGCCGCCGGATCCGAACAAGTACTTTGTCCTCGCTAAGGCGGAGATCGTCGCCGTGGACGTGCAGGCGCGGAAGCTGCACACGGATATCGAGGTGATTCACCAGGCTGCGCAGGAGTTTCCCGAAGACTCATGGGAGCAGCGTGAAGCTTTGAACATTGCGACGCGGATTACCAACACTTTCAGAGCCGGTGATCGGGAGTCGATTTTGAAGAGTCGGAGGATTGCTGAAGAGTACCTCGGCCCTGACACCAATTCGGGCAAGGTGTTTTCTGTGCGCAGCGAAAAGGTGCCTGATGTCTTTGCTGTTGGGCATTGTCATATTGATACCTGCTGGCTGTGGCCGTGGGAGGAGACGAAGCGCAAAGTTGTTCGGTCATGGTCGAATCAGTGCGATTTAATGGATCGGTACCCTGAACTGAAGTTTGCTTGCTCTCAAGCTCAGCAAGTGAGTCATTCGCTCCTTGGCCTTCGAAACTCGCTGCTAATGCCAGCGAATTAGTTCAAATGGCTGAAGGAGGGCTACCCGTATGCCTGGGAACGAGTGAAAGCCAAGGTCAAGGAGGGCCAGTTTCTACCCATTGGAGGTTGCTGGATCGAGCATGACACAAATATGCCGAGCGGCGAATCCCTTGTTCGACAGTTTCTCTACGGTCAAAGGTTCTTTGAGAGCAACTTCGGGTTCCGGTCAACTACTTGCTGGCTACCCGACACATTCGGCCAGTCGAGTCAGATCCCTCAACTCTGTCGGCAAGCAGGGATGAACAGGTTCTTGACGCAAAAGATTTGCTTCAACAACATGAATGAGTTCCCTCATACGTCCTTCAACTGGTAAGGGAAGCTTTACCCCAAAGGATTTCATAGGGTCTTTGCTGATCTAAGTAATACAGGGTTGCTCTTGATGGAAGTCAAGTCATCTGCCACATGCCGCCCGCAAAGACTTACTGTGCCGATGCAACGTTTGACAACATCAAAAAGAGTATGACGCAGCATAGGACACTAGATCAGGATCACACTTCTCTCCTGGCAGTTAGTACCCTATCGATTCTAAATGTGTGCATCGTTCGTTGATCGCCGATTGACATTCTTCCAGTTTGGAAAAGGTGATGGCGGTGGCGGCCCTACCTGGCAGCAGATTGAGAGACTTCGGAGACTGAGAGGCCTCGCCGACACCACCGGGCTTCTCCCCCGAGTTCATCTCGGAGGCACCCCTGACGACTTCTTCGATAAGCTGGAAGAGAAGGCGCACACGCTTCCAACCTGGCATGGGGAGCTGTACTTTGAGCTTCATCGTGGCACTTACACGACCCAAGCCGCTACGAAGAACAACAACAGACGAGCTGAGTTCCTCCTTAGGGATCTCGAGTTTCTTGCCACGATTACCTCCATCCATGATCCCTTGTACAAGTATCCTAAGAAGGAACTCGATGAGATGTGGGAAGGCGTTCTACTCTGCCAATTCCACGACTGTCTTCCTGGAACTGCGATTGGGATGTGCTATGACGACTCGGACAAGGTATGCCCTACAGACCCAGACATACGAAATTGAACTTACACGCGTCAAGATCTACTCAAACGTTTTCCAAATTCGCGACACCCTTCTCCAAGATATATACAGCACTCTGAGTGTATTCGAGGGACCCGAGCCAAGGTTTGCTGACGATGAGCAACTCGCTCTCAACACCTTGGCGTGGCCCCGCAAAGAGGTACTTTTCGCTAGCAACGGGTCGGTTGTCATCGCCGAAGGTAATGGGACCTTCCTCTCTATCCAAGATACCCCAACAGTCACAGCCAAGAAGTTAGTGACCGTGGAGGAAATTTCCGAAGGCGTCTTCAAAATGCAGAACTCCCGCTTCTCGGTGACCGTCGAGCAAGGGTGCATAACTTCCTTGTACGATTACAGCACCAAGCGCCAGGTTCTCGCAGGAAAGGCGAACCAGTTCGTCATTTTCGATGATAAACCCATCTACTGGCAGGCCTGGGACGTGGAGGTTTTCCATCTCGAAACTCGGGAAGAGCTACACGGGTCCACCACTTCGATTCTTGAAGACGGCCCTCTGAAGGTCAGCGTTGTCACGGAGACGAAGATCAGCGACGTCAGCTCTATCAAGACCACCATCAGCCTCAGTGCTCCTTTTGATGAGCCTTTTGATGAGGAAGCCAGCCCGTCGTATGTGGAGTGCACTGCGGAAGTTGACTGGCATGAGACGATGAAGTTCCTGAAGGTCGAGTTCCCGGTGGATGTTCGGCACCATGAGGCATCGTACGATACCCAGTACGGTGTCATCCGGCGGCCAACTCACTATAACACCTCGTAAGTATCCGTTACCTTGAATCCCTTCTTTGCGGTTAGCTGACACTCTGGGACTCAGCTGGGACATGGCCAAGTTTGAGGTGTGCAGCCACAAGTACGCGGATCTCTCGGAATACGGCTACGGCGTCTCGATCCTCAATGACAGCAAGTACGGCTTTGCCACAGTCGGCAACACTATGCGGCTTTCGCTCCTGCGCTCCGCCAAGGCCCCCGACGACCAGGCCGATATGGGCAAGCACACCATCCGATGGGCCATCCTGCCTCACCAAGGCCCTCTTGGGCCGGATACGGTCAGAGCTGCCTTTAACTTCAACAACCCCTTGAAGCTGATGTGGATGTCCGCGGACTCGCCGTTGAGGGAGTTTCCAATCGTATTGGATGGTGACAAGAACCTTGTCCTCGACACTATCAAGCGTGGAGAAGATGATGAAGACGTCAGCAACGGCGAATTGCCGGTGCGGTCGGGTAAGAGCGTCATTGTTCGAATCTATGAGAGCCTTGGTGGGCGCGGACGAGCGACGGTGCAGGCGAGGTGGAAGTTGCAGAGTGTGCACAAGACGAATCTCCTTGAGGACGACGAAGCAGATGTTCCCTTGGTTGATGGCAAGTTTGAGGTTGACCTTGGTCCCTTCCAGTTGCAGACATTCAGATTGGTTCTGGCCGGATAGGAGGGTAGAGAGGGTTCGAAGCGCGGGAATGGGCTTTTTATTTTCCTCTTAGAGACAAGTAGATCGATTGACTTTGAAGTTCGCAGCGAGAGTGAAGGAATGCTCCCGTCGAAAAGTGCGCTAAATTCAGTGATGAATTATGCTGCCCTCGCAGGTGCTCTATGTAAAGCAATCTAATTACCTGCGCGACACATCTGTCGCTATCTCGGCGCCCTTTGCCGTATTTGCATCTTCGTCGGTGTTGGTGCGCTCGTTAGCATTGGTGTGTTCAACGGTGTCAGTGTATTCGTCTGAATAGGAACCTTCATTGATATTGCCAGCAAGAGTTCCGTTTCGTCTTCCTCTCCTCTCGAGAAAAGCAATCAACAAGATAACTGGCACGGTCAGCGCCCCCGTCACCAAGCTGGCAATGTACCCCTTTTGGTAGTTTGGCGCGTCGGTCACGGGATAAAAGATAAGAGGCCACCACGTCTAAGCCCAGTCAGTGAATGGAACCAAACATCACCCATCTTGAGGCGAACGTACCACAAATGCAAAATCGAATGAGTTCATGAAGCCTGTCGTGATTGCTCGGAGTTGCAGATCGTGGGCCGTGAGATCAGCCATCCACGAGTACCAGAGCGCTTGCGGCGCGTACGTCGTGCCCATGAGGTAGAAGGCGAAAAAGTAGCCCGCGTCTGGCGGGTCTGAGATCAAGATGGCGCTGCTGACGATGAAAGTGAAGCCTATGCACAGGGACGCCTGCCAGCGAGAGCGAAGCTTGTCAGATACTGCGCAGTAGATGAACGTTGCGATGATGCCTGTTGCGTAGATTGCTGTCGGGTAGTTGTTCTGTTGGATGACGCCGTATCCGCGAGAGGCCATCCAGAGGGGCATCACATTGTTTTGTATCGCTTGGACACTGAGCGAGTAGACTGTTCTTGCTTATTAGCATCAACTCGGGGGCCGGCTATGTTGAGAGGAGGCGTACGCATGAACACGGTTGGGAGCAGCCAGAATTGCCAGCTGAGAAGAACACGCCGAAAAATGCTCAAGTCCCATTCTTTGGTCTTGGTCCGGCCGAGGCGGGTAACTGCGAGGTCCCTCTCTTCGGGAGATAGGAACCTGGCGGAGCGGTGTTCTGGCAGATCGGGAATCGCGAACCAGCCTGCCCTCACGTCAGTCTTCCGCTTGTCTGTCGCTATGGAGGAGGGGTCACTCACCAAATACGGCGAAGGGGATTGTAACACATGAAACCACCACGAAAATGAGCCGCCATGGAGCGATCGGGCCGTTGGAGAGAGAAGCCAAAAGACCGGCCTGGATCCAGCCTCCCGCCATATTGCCGAGGTTGCCAAAAGCGCAGAAGACGGCTGCGCGGGTAGCAAGCTCGGATTGCTTATACCACGATCCGTAGATGAAATGCGCACCCACACTAAGATGTTATGTGAGCATATGCAGAGTGTATTTCACGAGCGTCAAAGGCGGACTTACTATGCAATGGCAGAAAAGGCGCCTTCAAACCCATTGAGAATGAAGACTTGATAGACGTGAGTCGCTCGGAAAGTGACCAGCGTGAGCACGCTCCAAACGGTGTTGGCGGCGACAAACACGTATCGCGGTTTGACGATGGTCAAGATTGAGGTTGATGGGATCTGGAACACGGCGTAGGTGACGAGATAGATTGTGTGCATGTAGTTGAAGTCCTGAGACAGAGTCAGGATGGAACCGGACCAACCGGTGTTTGGTGTTTCATGGAAGACAACTCACTTTCCCTTGGAAGTTCAGATCTTCCTTCATGCCGCTGATGTAGGCGGTGCTGTAGCTGGCGCGATTGATGCCGAACAGGAACCACACCACGGAGAAGTAGATGAGCACGGTGAAGTCGAGCTTGATGAGCAGCGAGCGCTCGACCGACGGCGGGCCCCAGAGGGCCGTCTTGATTCTGGACGCCATATCGGAGGCTGCTACCGGACGTCGTGGTGGCAGTAATGAAGAGGAAGAGGAGGCGGCGGCAAGCAGAGGCGACGCCTCTGAGACTGTGATATCTGCCATTCTGGTTTTGTACTGCGCTTGCGCACCACCCTTGCCTGCAGTGCAAGGTTCCACAGGCGCGCGATGTCGTCTTGAAGGGTTGCAGATTTCGCCATCGACTCGGAGACGATCAATGAGTGCAATACCGCGGCGGGCGGGCGGGAATCGGGATTTAGGTCGGCTAAGCACTAAAACACGCTGCGGAGTCGTTGCGACAGCTCACCTAAGCAACTGGAATCGTGCCGCTTACCCCGAATTGCGCGAGCTTATGGCGGCGCGGGGTTTGGCCACATTCGGTAGGTAGCACGACATAAGGCCCTTTGTTGGCGTAGATAAAGAAAATCTGACCAGTCGTTTGTTTGTCTGCGAGACTCGGTCTTCTCTGTTCTTATCAGTGATTGAGGAACTCCCTATGAGTTTAGCGCTTTTCAGGGGGGTCTCTATCCATCAAGTCGATGAGTACGCAACTACGTGCTTCGTGGGTTTATTTCCGTGTAAGCATGAATCTGTTGATAGTTCTGTCTCTTTCCAAAAAGAAACTTCAGCCCATGAAATGACCATACCTTTCTGATCAGTATATTTTCATTTCTTATGGTTCCAATTCCTCGCAAAATACCTTACGCACATTTTGTTGCTCGTCATACATGATTTTTATCAACACTAGGCACAACAGTGTCATTTCCACGACACAAAACCTCTCCCCCTCTCTTCCCCAGGTTACAGTGAACCCATGCTCGTCGTTGATGAAGCCAGTCTGTGAACTGAAGCGGCTCGCCCCAGTCCCGCTCCCAATCACCCGCAAAGAATTCCACCTGCTCTAGAGACTGCCCGCCGTGCTCTCGCAAGAAACGCGCCAGCTCTCGAGCGGTCGTAGAGTTCAGCAAAGGTTGTGCAAACTCCTCAATGGTCTCTCCCCGGCCGTCCCAGTAGTCGTCGTTCTTCTGCCGCCGATATTCGCTCGCCATCTCAAAGTAGACTGTCAGCTTTGAAAGGGTGCCTGGACTGCTCTTCATAAGAGTCGCCATATCATCCAAGGGCCAACTTGTGTTGTGGCGGTTCAAGTCTATGGTGAGAGCTTTCAGACGCGGTGCGAGGTGTCCCATGTCTCGCAAGATCGGCATTGGTAAGAGAGGACGAGGGCGGTAGAGAGTTTCTGCGCTCCTCCATTCCAGCTCGGTGAGACTGCTTCCGTGGTGCTCGAGGATCAGTCTTAGCGTTTTTTCAGAATATTGAGGCTCGATCCAGGTCAACTGGTTGAGCGAGCCAGCCGGTATGGCCAAGATGAAGTCGAGCATGTCCGGGCCTTCGACAGACAAGGATCGTAAGCTTGGTAATTTGGGAGCGAGGAGCTTCGCGATCAAGTCGGTAGAGCTATCCCGGCATGAATCGCACCTGATTGACAGGCTCTGAAGTTGAGAAAAGTCCATGGCTTCGAGCCACAACTCCAGATTCGTCTTTGCCCTCTGATCTCGCGGAAGGAGACGCCACTTTAGGAACTTGTAGGCATTCCTCGACGTGATCCACTGTAGCGTGTGATCCCATCCGTAAAGTGAGATATAGTTCGATTCAGAGTCGCCAAAGTTGTAGCCATCAAGGGAGAGGTCCTGTATTGCTGATACATACTTCGTGCCGCCTGCTGGGTCCAAGGGCAAACTCCATCGCTCCGGAAAACCGACGCAGCCTAAAAGCGCGAATCGCAGGTCAAGGCTTGTGATTTCCGGGCAGGTCTCGAGAAGGGAATGAATCTGGTATATGCTTCTTGATCTGCGGTCAGATAACCAATGACCGTCTGACTCCGGGATCGTGGCGTGGATTTCTGAGGGACACGTTGATGCGAAGAAGCCGGATGTGAGTGGAAGCGCATGCCACAAGTTCTTCAGATTCATGATTTGAAAGTTGGATGTATTCGAGCGGCGGTGCCGTGGAAAGCATTGCAGTTCTCCAATTCGAGGTGCCTTTGTTACGCAGACGGCGTGGCCACGTGGTACGTTACTATGCCACACCATAGCGTTGCTGTTGCCTGGCGGCTTAGTATCCAGATGAAACACATCACAGTCCGAAGAACAGATGGTGAAATTAGTGTGGTGTTGTCATTCCATGATTTATGTTGTGACTTTGACCTAATCCTCCAATCCCAAACGCCTTCGCCCATGCAAACGAGGTGCCTCCCATATGTCCTGTTCACGGAGATGGGTGATATGCGGCCCAGCCTTTGACTAATTCCTCCACAGTTGACCTACCTTACGCATAGTACGGTTTCCTCCCACAAACGCTAAATCTGCAAAAACAAGTGAGTAGATGCCCTGACTGTTGAAACACAACGTTCCGGTTATCAACTTACACTTCCCAATACGCATGAACCGATCGATTCAGCAACTCCTCTCTCACCTCCTCGCAAAAGTCTTTCGTATCTTGCTCCGTCCAGCCCAGCACGCGCGTGAAGACGGCCAGCGTAGACGCCTCGAGACCCGCCAAGCTCCCCGCCTGAACCCACCAGCCTGCCTCTCGCAGCTTCTTCTTCGCGGGCCACGGGCTGACGGGCCAGATCCTCTTGTGCTCGACGACGGCCTCGAAGCCTGCTTCCTCGAGCAGCTGCTTGAAACGTGTCGGCACATCGATTGAGCTTCCGATCTTGTTGCAGCCTTCGACTAGCAGCGAGGACCACCTGGCGATGGCGCTGGTCTCGGGCATGGAGTCGTCTGGGCACAGGATGGGCCACGCGTTGTCCTGGAGCTCGATGTAGCCGCCAGGCTCGAGGTGCCTGCAACAGTAAGATTGGGTTCTCTGTGTGTTCGGGGCGGGTGTGTAGCTACTGGAATGCCTGCGCCAGCATCTTCTCCCAGCTCTTGAAGCATGAGTTCATGTGCCGCACGAAGATGAAGTCGAAGGGTATCGTCCATCTCCAATCCTTGTCTACGTCGTCGATCTCAAACATGCAGTTCGGGGGCACACTGCCAAGTCAGCCCCGCATACGTCAGTGGGCTGGATGGACATACTAGTCAGGTTGGATGGGACTGAGGTCGACTCCGGTGACCTTGATCACATTAGCAACTTATCGGATACATGGTTCAGAAGTCATCAAACCATGGTCTCGGGATGAAGATCCGCTGCGACACGTTAGATGCGACCCAGCACGGCTACGCTCAGAATGCTTACCATATTCCATAGCCCAGATGCCTGTACCAGTGCCGATGTCAAGGACTCGCTTTGCGTTATCCTGCATCGGGCTCATGCAGAGTTTGTCGTCCCACGTTAATAACCACAGCTGATGCTGTAAGTCTATGATAAAGTGAGTGGGAATAGCTTCATGGTCTCCAACAGGTGGCATTACATAATCGATCTTGCTCCAGCTATTGACTGGTTAGAGGCAATTCACCAATGGTTGTAGGTTGAAGGGAGACATACGACATCGTTGGGCAGGATGTATTCTTCGGGTGTCATGGATTGGTCAGCTGTCTCGGCCATGTCATGCGTCGTACTCACTCCCTTCACTGAGTTTGTGATACGTGCGGCCGTTCTCTTTGCAGTATTCACGGATGCTGGGTCGCACGGAGATTAAAGACGGAGGCAGCGCCTCGTCCAAGGACTAGATGAGTCTCAGCTAATCTACAAACAGATGAGGGAATGAGAGGACTAGACGCACCTCGGCATCGATGGAGATGCGATCAAAGTCGGCATCGTCGTCACGGTGGGTATCCTGCACGTGCAGCCCGTCAGCAAAGTCATGTACCCAGCACACTGCCGCGCGCCGAGCGCCGACCGGAGCGGAAGATGGGCGGGCTTTCGGCGCGCAAAGGAGGGGCACATTAGACTGAATGAGTAAGGCGGAAGAGAGCGCGAAGGAATCAAAGGCAGGTCAACTCACGTCGTCCCCGTTTCTCGAATCAGACATGTTACCGGCGGCTTGGGTTTGCAAATCGCAAGTTCGTCCGGCCGCAAGGGGAGATGGACCGAGAAAAAGCGAATCGGCGGCACCAGCAGCACGGGTCACACAAACGAAAGCGTGTGAAATGGAGGGGGGAGGGGGGAGGGAGAGAGGGGACGAGGATTTTAGGGATGCCTCCGAAACCGTGCTTCTTGGCCCAGACCTCCCTCAGGCTCCTCCTCTCTCTTCTCCTGGGCCCCCCTTCCGATCACCTCCACATCTGATGGTGCGCGTTGGTTCTGCGACGGCCGAACGTGAGGATGTGATTGGTGCTGTGCCGCATACATGGTCTCACCTGTGGCACCGTCGTGGGCGCGATTTCCTGGTCGCTGGGATGAGATGAAGAAGTGCTGCCGTCAGCGTCGGTTACAGAAGCTGACGGCGGATGTGATTGGGGGGTTTTCGACGCATGTGTTGCGCACGACCCTGGACCCTGCAATCATCCACAGCGTGGCCTGATGAGCAGTTCTATATTTATGGTGCTTCTCTGAGGCAAGACGACGACGAAAACAAGAGATCATAGGGCCTAGTTTATACTCTTTTCTTATGTTCTATTGATGTTCTCAGTATTATGTGACAGTAAGCTTCCGCGGTTACCCGCAATTCTTAGGCAGTATTACCGCCTGAAATCATTATGCCCATGCCGTCTAGATCGCTGCTGGTTTGTTTCGTTCTCAGAAACCCAAGGGTTCACCCAGAGCAGTAGAGGATATAGATGTCTGAGGTTCAATTAGATTCTGTGACTGATACTTCTGTTCAAATGCAGCCAGGTGAATATAAATATGCCATATCACATTTACTTAAGCGCTCTATTAATAAAACAAAAATAAAGAGTCTTGCTATCTAGGTGGGCAACTATTATACTAGGTGCAATAATTTTCATCTATTAATAATTTATTATCTCTATTATCTCCATTATCCTTATTGTCTCTATGGTCTTTACTGTTCCTATTATCTCTCCTGTCCCTACTGTTGATGCTGTCCCTGTCGTCCCTGTCGTCCTTGTTGTCCCTATCGTCCTTGTCGTCTCTGTCGCCCCTATTATCCTTATCGTCTCTGTCGTCCCTATCGCCCCTATTCCCATCGTTATTATCTATTCTGTCGTCGATAGTTGCTACCCACCTGGATAGTCAGGAACACCCGCCCAGGTAGCAAGAATGAAAATGAAAACAAAGATGTAACAGCATAAAGACACAAAAAGAACTCCTCGACGGGGAATTGAACCCCGGTCCCCGGCGTTTAGTAGAATGACAAGCCGATATCCTCACCACTAGACTATCGAGGATTGATATCTCTGAATCGAGATGTGTTACTGGACCCCAATCGTGACTCATTCAGCTGGGGTCCCGTTGTGAAGTGGATGTTGCTTGAATCGGTGGGTCTCGGATGGGGCCTGTATGAATTTGTCGCTGTAAAATCTCCCATGTCTAACTATCGGTTGCTGTTTGCCCAGAGAACTTTTGATTTGTTTCCGTTGTGGCTGGTGCTACGTGATCATGCTGGAAGCTGGTGTCTGAGATACTCTAGGCTGGCCGATGGAAACGCGGAAGGCGGGGCTCCTGCAGAGCTGGACGAGGGCGGAGCTGATGTCACCAGAAGCCGGGCAACGGACTTCGCCTCGGGTCCTTTGGGCCGTTTGATGTGGTTAGTATGTATTTATTACTGACCAGAGCTTCCTAGAAGCTAAATTGCTTGAGAGTTTTGCTAGTCGGGCAGTGTCATTTGGCTATCTGGGCACACACGTATATAACCCGTAGCATGTTCCTAAAGTGACTATTGTAGTTCCTATGCTCGCTTTCGTCGTTATTATTATCTATTATTATCGTCTATTATTATTATTATTATCGTCGTCGTCGTCGTCGTTATTATTGTTATTGTCGTCGTTATCGTCGTCGTTATTATCGTTATTGTCGTTGTTATCGTCGTTGTTATCCATCCTGATTACTACTTCTATCGTTCTCTCTATAATCACGGATCATAGGAGACACTGCCCGGATAGCTAACGAACACTGCCTGACTAGCAAAACTCTTCCTTTATGGTGTCGTTTCTCAGAATTCTCTTTTTACTGAATCTAGGGGAGAAGGAAACTTCCTTGTCCTAAGTATGTGAGCATGTTCTATCTGCAAATAGCTTACTCCAGCATACCATATGTTCCCTCGATGTATTCGCTGACTCTTCGGCCACTGCTTGCTCACGGTCTAAGTTTTGGTGACTATCCGATTCTTGTCTATTGATGTGTTATCATGAGTAGATGGAGTTGGTATTCGCATGGCAAGCGAGTAGAGTCTCGCGGGTCATTAGGGGCACGTCGAACTACCCGTCAACCCAGTCCATCAGATCTCAACTTGGCACACTTACATGTGTACCTGTAGCGTTATTATCCGAGTGCAGATCACGTTATGTAGCTAGAAGCAAGGTAATGTTGTAATACCGTTGGCAATGTGGGAAGAATGATGTGTATGAGACACACACCTCAGACCGTGCTGCTGAGTATGTCGGCCTAGCGAAGTACATCACCGTCTTTGAAGCACAAGTAGTGCTGTACGTCTATTTCATTGTTTTCTGGTCGGTTGATAGATGGGATCAAGATTGCATACGGTAAGTTAACGTTGACTGCCACCAGCCCGATGCGGTACTATGAACAGGTTGGTTAGACTTTCTTTCAATTCTCTAGATAGGTTTACTTCACCGCCGTTGTATCTATTAAGGACGAGATCCGCTCATAGGTAAACACCAACCGCCGCTGCATACATGTTGCCTGACTTGCGACGACCACACCTAAAATAGGATATTTGTTTCCGCACGCTTCCACACAGAAGAGCGGAGAAGCAACACCAAAAGGACCATCGTGATACACCAATTTCTTCGTCTTAGAAAGTATGTATACAGCACTGGAAATGATTCGCACGTTGGTTCCGCGGATGGCATACCCGATGTGGGACATGCTCAAGCAACAGAATGCTGCCTTGTCCACACAAATGCCTATCCTCAATTCTACCTACTTCTATACATGAGGGAGTGTATATTACCCTGAACGTTACCTTTCATCTGGACACCTTCAAACCCTGCGTGAACCATCTCAGCCCTGCATGAGGCGCCCGCAAACAAGGGTCTCATCCGCCGATCGAGATGATCGGAGGCCGTTACGACGACGACGACCTCGTTACTCAAAAAGTATCAAACCATAACTCAGCAGTCGTTCGTTACACAAGCACCAGGCATAAAGCCAAGCCAATCCCGCTTCTCCCGACGTCTGCTGGAAGCTTCCCCCACCGGAGCAAACTCTCCGAGACATGGACGCACCCCGCGGCCCCGCAATGTACGGAGCGGGGCACCTCGGATGCGGCATCATGAGCCTCAGCCTTCGGGCCCTCATCCTTTATGGAAGGCACTGGACGAACGGCAGAAATGGCACCATGGCCGAAGTAACCGATCATGCGGTGAGTTCTTGGCGACGCCCGTCGGTCTCCTGGGACGGAAATTGACAGCCTGTCACCCCTTCTCAGGGGGCGCTGTTGTCGTCACGGTGTACGTACGGCCGAACACCGTTTTCCCCAAGCGAAGTTACGCTGTACTTTATCCGGTATGTCATCTCGCATACAGGGACTTCACACTACGGCGGGCGTGCTTTAGCCCAAGGGTCTCAGCCAGCCTAAGCGACGCCGTGTGCCGAGCCGTAGTATAGCCTCAACGGCGCGACGACGTCTTTCGCAAGCCGTGAGAAGATCAACCACAGTATTGACGTTGAGCAACGCACCATCATCGCATCTCACCTGTATCTACTGAAGGATTGACAAAGTCCCACTCGCCATGTTTCTCCGTACGCCGAGGGCTGATCCGACTCGCATGCCATCGCACGACAACTCCTGCTGTTGAGACGCACCTTGGCGATGCGCATCTATGATGGCCTACACCCCCATCGTCATCCCTGGAGACGACAACGACCACCCAAAATCCAGATTCACAAGGATCAAACCAAGGTCATCGATCGGGAGACGCCTAATTCCATTCCCTGGCGGTCAATCATGCAGGCACTTTCATCATCGCACATTGGCGTCGCATGCCATCCCGTCGACGGCGCTTCTAGACCCCGAACATCACTTCCGGTCCCCCCAATCGAACCCCCGGTTCGCTCGGCGGGTTAGTGTTAGCGTTCCTCCCTTTTGGGATGGCATGTCCGTGATGCCAGCTGGAGATCACGGGGGTGTAAGAGGGAGAAAAGGAACGACATTCCGAGGCATCGTGAGATTGTGGTAGGCGTGAAGCGAGACGGCTGCTCGAGACTCTCGATGGCAGTTGCTGGACAAGGAACAGGAAGGGGGTAACGGCAAATGAGGGGGTCTCTCTCTCTGGAGGTCGGTATTGCTTTATCGAGGTGGACGATCAGGCGCGACTAGCGCTCTGTGTTGTTAAAGGCAGGACGACATGAAATTGCGTTGCGTGAATATAATGGCACACCCCGAGGGGAAAGAGGCATATGCCGCATAGTAAGAGGGGGCCTCTTCTCGACGAGACATGGTTTCTTTTCTGAAAAAGCCT